TTATACGTTTATTAATCAAGGATTTTGTATTTTGTATTATGAAACGTGACAGATGCTTGCTAAATACAAAATTGACATTCAACATGTGTGAGAGCTAGTGCACCACAGAGGCACAACCCCTATATATTATCGATGTCCGGGCAACTATAGAGTGTGGGCAAGGACTACTGTCACTAAGGTGTGCAGCCTCAGCATGAGACAGAAAATCAGATACTGTACTGGTATAGATCACGGCTGATAGCTACACACCATCCACCCTAAGGTGATAAGTGAGGAACTTGGAGAAGGGGAGCACAACTGCTATAATGACCTTGAAAAAATATAATCAGCAAACACACAAACTGCTATATTCTTCAAAGTGTTAAATTCAAGCACTCACCGACCTTCCAAACGTCCTCTCCAACAGTATGTGTAAATCCTGTTTTGGGCTGAGCTGTGGGGTTTGCTAGTACACAAACAATGGGAGTTAGTGAAAATATAGTTTACCAAGCTACCAATTACTTCACACTGGAAGAAGTTAAGCTACACTAAAGATACCCTTTACAATTAGAATTTAGTTTACTTAACTAAAGTTACTTTGAAAAAGTAGCTCACTACATCCAACTACTTTGTGAAAAATTATCCATATCTAAATCTGAAATGTCTTAGAATACAAATAGCAAGAACACACTCGGGAGACAGATGTTAACAGAATGTAATTTAGCATATTAAAACACAAAAACAGTTTCAAGTGAGAATTAGGCAGGTCTGATACTGAAAAAGAAAGAATTATTGCCTACTTAACCCATATTTTATTTTTGCAAAAAAAGTAGCGTGTAGTTCCAGTAGTTATCTACACCGCTACATAGCAAAAAAGTAATTAACTACTGAAAACACTACCAAGATTTGAATTTAGTTGAACTACCACCAAGCTACTGTAAAATTAATTTTAATTAGTAGTTGGACTACACGTAGTTCACTACTCCCCAACACTGAACTTCAAGGACAGCACCTTTTAGCTGACAATTGCCTTCCTATGGAGTTAGATACTACTGTCATTGAGGTACGCAGTAGTCTTGTAAAGACTCTAAAAGTTATTACAGTACACTGTTACTACAACCTTCAGTAATTGTCATAAATGTCAAACATTGTTTAACCAGTCATAAGATCAGAAATACTGTTTCACCAGTCATAAATAATTTCATAAAAACATTGAAACAAACATGAAACAAAGACCAACCCCAATAAATGACAAGCCAAAATGTTTTTACTGAAACAAAATAATATTTTACAAAATGCATGGATAAGTAATTTTTCTCAGAAAGGGAAAAGGTCACATGAACAGGCCAGGGCTCAGTCCCAAATGGCACCCATTCCCTATATAGTGCACTACTTTTTACCAGAGCCATATGGGCCCCGGTCAAAAGTAGTGCACTATATAGGGAATAGGGTGACATTTGGGACACAACCCTGGGATCAATCAGGATAGGAAGCAGCTGATAATGCTTTACTCCCAAGAGGGGACAGAAACAGGAACAACAGACAAGGGTGAGTCCCAAATGGTAGCCTATTCCCTATATAGTGCACTACTTTTGACCGGGGCACTGGTCAAAGGTAGTGCACTATATAGGGAATAGGCTGCCATCTGGGGTCGTAAATAAGATCCCTTGAGTCAACAGCTTATATCATTAAATAAACTATTTATTATAATAATTACATCTCACAGTGTCTTCCTGACTGTGAATATAGAACGTATCATTATAAAACAAAGCAATAAAATAGGCTTTTTGATAGAAAACTTTTATTTTTCCGCAATGTATTATAAGTCATAAGTATTTCCATACTGTTGAATGCTGATGATATAAACCCCTTGCTTAGTGGTACTTCTGTGAGCGTGGGCCTCTATAACTGACTAACTCTTACATTAGTTTTGTGGCACTCACACTCAAGTAGGGTTGCAAAATTCAGGAAATTCTCAGAATTCCCAGAAAAAGGACTCATTTCATCCTGATTCCAAGGAAATGTCAACCAGGATTTCTGGAAAACTTGGGAAAGCTACCACAATATTGCAATCCTACACAAGATAACAGCAGTTTAGAGGAAAATAACAGACAATTTGAAGGCCACCTTATCCTTAATTAATAAGTGCATTATGGTTGATGATCATGGCCAAGTGGAGAAAGGTGGTGGGACACACAATCCATAAGAAGATCTTATAAATGTACAATGAACAATATTATTTTAAAAACATTTTTTTTTTTTGGGGACAAAAATAGCAAATGGCAGCACAAAACTATTAAACTGTCCTCTCAAAATGGGCTTAAATAAAAGTGCAATGCACAATTTTCATTAAAAGTGTAAAGAACCAACGTGGATAAAAAGAGAGCGCCCATAGCAATTTTGAATGGGTTACTTCCAATGCATTTATATAGCAAAAATAGAACATACATCAGCATCAGTCCAGAACCTCTACAGCATTGCAACTGACAAATTGTCTGTATTGCAGAGGTTACTTTCTTCAAGCACAATATAATAAATACGCTGGTAAAAAAAACTCTAAAAATGGAAAAAGCTATATTCAACGCATTCCTACAAAATACAATGTTTAGGAATGCAGTAAACAGTGTGACTCTGCTAAGAGGAGGAGTTGGTATTAGTTACTAAAATGGCATTGCACCTCCTTGAAATCAAACATACACTACCAGTCAAAAGTTTGGACACACCTACTCATTCAAGGGTTTGTCTTTAGTTTTACTATTTGTTTACATTGTAGAATAATAGTGAAGACATCAAAACTATGAAATAACACTTATGGAATCATGTAGTACCCAAAAAAGTGTTAAACAAATCAAAATATATTTTATATATATTTGCCTTTGCCTTGATGACAGCTTTGCACACTCTAGGCATTCTCTCAACCAGCTTCATGAGGTAGTCACCTGGAATGCATTTCAATTAACACGTGCCTTCTTAAAAGTTAATTTGTGGAATTTCTTTCCATCTTAATGCGTTTGAGCCAATCAGTTGTGTTGTGACAAGGTAGGGGGGTATACAGAAGATAGCCCTATTTGATAAAAGACCAAGTCCATATTATGGCAAGAATAGCTCAAATAAGGAAAGAGAAATGACAGTCCATCATTACTTTAAGACATGAAGGTCAGTCAATACTGAACATTTCCATAACTTTTAAAGTTTCTTCAAGTGCAGTCGCAAAAACCATCAAGCGCTTTGATAAAACTGGCTCTCATGAGGACCACCACAGGAATGGAAGACCCAGAGTTACCTCTGCTGCAGAGGATAAATTCATTAGTTACAAGCCTCAGAAATTGCAGCCCAAATAAATGCTTCACAGAGTTCAAGTAACAGACACATCTCAACAGCAACTGTTCAGAGGGGACTGTGTGAATCAGGCCTTTCATGGTCGAATTGCTGCAAAGAAACCACTACTAAAGGACACTAATAATAAAAAGAGACCTGCTTGGGACAACAAACACGAGTGATGGACATTAGACGGGTGGAAAATGTGTCCTTTTGTCTGGAGTCCAAATGGGAGATTTTTGGTTCAAACCGCCGTGTCTTTGTGAGACGCGGTGTGGGAGAACGGACGATCTCTGCATGTGTAGTTCCCAACGTAAAGCATGGAGGAGGTGTTATGGTGTGTGGGTGCTTTGCTGGTGACACAGTCTGTGATTTATTTAGAATTTAAGGCACACTTAACCAGCACGACTACCACAGCATTCTGCAGCGATACGCCATTCCATCTGGTTTGGGCATAGTGGGACTATCAGTTGTTTTTCCAACAGGACAATGACCCAATACACCTCCAGGCTGTGTAAGGGCTATTTTACCAAGAAGGAGAGTGATGAGTGCTGCATCAGATGACCTGGCCTCCACAATCCCCGACCTCAACCCAATTGAGATGGTTTGGGTTGGGTCGGACGGCAGAGTGAAGGAAAAGCAGCCAACAAGTGCTCAGCATATGTGGGAACTCCTTAAAGACTGTTGTAAAAGCATTCCAGGTGAAGCTGGTTGAGAGAATTCCAAGAGTGTTAAAGCTGTCACCAAGGCAAAGGGTGGCTATTTTAAGAACCTCAAATATAAAATATATTTTGATTTGTTTAACACTATTTTGGTTACTACATGATTCCATATGTGTTATTTCATAGTTTTGATGTCTTCATTATTATTCTACAATGTAAAAAAAAAAGTAAAAATAAAGAAAAACCCTTGAATGAGTAAGTGTGTCCACACTTTTGACTGGTACTGTAGGTGCAAGTAGCACCCTGAAAAACTACATAGGAAAATAAATAGATGTACATAAATGAACAACTGGCAACATTCTGTGAAATTGCGAGTCAAAAAACACTGTAATCAGTGTTTATGAGGATGAGTGGCAGTAACTTTTGTGTCTGCTTCACTCCCTTTAGGAAGTTATTCCTGCCACAGTTCTAATGAGTGGATTGTTACTATTATTATTAGAAAGCTACATCTTGTTTGGAAGCAGAATTCATGGTCCGAGATTGCTTCCATTCAAGAGATGAGTTACAGCTACTGGGCACTTGCAGGGTGGCATAAAAGGTGACATGGATGGCAGTTCCTTCCCGGCTTCTATAACCTATACCGAGTGGAGAAGGTGGCCTGTTCTTCAATCCTTGATCACAGTCAAAGAAAACATACAAGTAATAACAATTGGGTTCGGTTTCCCAGACACAGGTTAAGCCTAGTCCTGGACTAAAAAGCATATCCATTGAAAGGGCTTTTCAGTCCAAGACTAGGCTTAATCAGTGTCCGGGAAACTGGCGCATAATGCTGTAAATGATGAAGGGATGAATGGAAGAAAAAAGAAAACAGTCCAAACTAGGGGTTAGAAAGTTATTTTCAGAGGAAGTCCTTTAGTCAGAGCTACACTCACTCACTCAGTGGATAAATTAAGGTAAAGTGAGGAGAAGTCCGGTTCAGGAATATCAGTGCTGGTGGTTTGTTGGAAGAGTAGGCTACTCCATGCTGTAGTTGGCAGGCTACTCCATGATGGCTCTGTAGATCACAGGTTCAACGTAGTCTCCTCTGTACCGTGAGTTGATCACTCTCTGCCTCTTCGACTGCTGGATGGCCTCCTTGTCCTCAAAGATCCCATCGAAACGCATGTCTGACGCCTTGGACTGGAGAGAGACCGGTGCAGGGCACACACAGAAGATGAAGATTGCGTTATGGTCCATTGCCACAGGAAGAAGACTCATTAACAAACATGCTGGAGAAAACAATTCCGTCAGTATGATTCAGTCAGTATGATTCAGTAGACTCAGCAGTCCTTAGTATAACATCTGAGAGTGAGAAAGTTAGGAGTTGATGATACACAGTTAACGTACAAAGGTTAGCAACTTTGGAGTCAGTATAATGGATAGCTCACAGATAGCCAACAGGACAGCTCTCAGTACACTCACCAGTCTTGACTTGACTCTCTTAGGCAGCTCCTCATCCAGAGTATAGACATCATCTCTCTTGGCTGTTAGTTGTGACCCGTCTTCAAATTCCACCTACATCAAACACCATCAATGCCAAAATAACTACATTTTATGTCTCTCATAAAACCAAACAATGGTATCATCACAGACATGTAATGTATTGCAATGAGTTTTTTTTAATAGGTTTTAAACAATCTGGACAAACGGAGCAGATCAATTAGACTGCAAAGCACTATATGATGTAAAACTGTATAACCTCTATCTGGATAAGGTACATTGTAGCTGAGGGTGAGTGTGAATAGTGTTGCAGTACCTGGTACATTTGGATGACGTGAGCAGCCACAAACTTGGCCCCATAGACCAGACCATCTGTCCACCGGACCTGCACCATCTCCCCCTGTGGTGGGGGGCCTAGCTGGGCACAGTCCCGGCCCTGGCAATATAAAACAACCATCAGATACAATCCTATAAACTAACAATTTAGCAAGCACCAAAAAGCAATCACACAATTTTAACCAATGTGTGGTACATATTGTATAAGAAATCTATAAACGAATAATGAACAGCTTATAAACCCTGTCATGAATTACTGACCACAATTTGGCACCACACACACTCACACCACACCCACACGTTAGTCTTCTTACCACAATGTCCTCGGGAAAGAGGTTATCGCTAAAGGAGCCGTCATCAAAGTTGACCTCATAGAACGTCTCCTTGGACAGCTGCACCACGTCACACTGGTAGTAGCGGCCATTTCTGTGCTTACAGATCACCCTCCTTCCCACAGTGAGCTCATGCATGGCTGCTTTGTTACGCTGAGAGAAGAGATCAATCATTCATCCGGATTAACATCAAATAAGAACTCTATCAACCTCTTTGGACCGGAAGCACATGGGCATACTTGTGGGAGTATGTGAGAGTTTTCACTTTAAAATCTAAAACCTAGTCATGTTTATACAATACACTGGTGAGCGCAGCCCTGAATATGTAGAATGTTTAGAAACTATAAGGTAAAGTATCAGCAGAATGATGTAACCAAGTCCCATAAGAGGCCTTTAGAGTCCCCACTGTCTGGTGTATAGCTTCCCCTTTCTGAAACACAGTCCTAAATATAAAGTAAAGTACAACTGATGTATACCTCTGTCTGAATAGGGCCCTTGTGCCGGCAGCAGGTGACATAGACCACAAAGGGCCACTCGTCTGGCTGCATGAGGACCCCAGCAGCCTGGGCACAAGTAGGGTGGTAGGCCGTAGGACAGCGGCCATGGGAACACTGTACACAGCACCCGGACGTCTTCTTCATCCGCTTCTTACAATAGTAACATTTCTGCACAGCACAGATAACAATAAGACCATGCTCAGAGAGACAGGAAAAGGAAGTCCCACAGGGAAAACTAGGCCTATACATCCTGTCAAACTGTATACAGTAGTAGGCTATCAACATCCTCTAGAAATACAACGGTTGACATGATTCCTGTCAAAGGGCTAAATTCAGAAACAAGGCTTTGGCAGAAAGAGAGCTGCCATTTGTCATATCCTGCCTGAAGCTCTGACTGACTGGGATTCATCACAAACTCACCTGGCATTCTCTAAATACCCTAGTCTCTAGTCTACCCTTGTAGTAGATGACAAGCTGAATTACTGTCACATGCATAGAGGTGGATGTGCCAACCATGTCTTGTAAAACCAATAATAAATTACTTTGACATAATATGCTGAAGAAAGGATATTCAGCCACTCTCCTTTATTCAAAGGTCCTTGGAAAAGGTTCTCCTCTATTCATGCACCTTGGTTGGAGAGCGAGGTAGTGACAGAGTCATATCCCTTAGCACGTAATAAATGTTGACAAAAGGCTTGGGCGGTATCCAGATGGTTATACCGACCTTGTGCTATATCGGGATATTCGGTCATACCGGCACTGAACACAAGGGGCACTATTTAAAAAACAGCCTTTGTAATCCGAAGGTTAGCAATGCTAAGAAGTACATGTCAAATCTCATTGAGAATGCTCACTAAATGCTAACGAGCGGATTGAGAACATTTTATACAGTCTCTGACCTAAACTATTTGCAGGACAGACATCCCAGCTCATAAAGTAGTAACTCTAAAATGCTACTCACAGAATGCTGCACGCACAAAACAAATATTAGACAATAAGGCTCTTGATCCAGGAGGGGATTCTCTGCTGTTACCAAGCGAAGCTTGGTTTTGGAAGAAGCTAACCACTTAGCTAGATTGCTAACTAGCTACTAAATTAGCAAACCAAATGCACAACTGCAGAGCATTTAGCACATTTTAGACAGGTAACTTAATAGTTATAAGATATCTAGCTGGCAAACATTTAGTTGTGAATTCCATACTGAAACTAGATCACCTGGCGCGTGCTGCACAACAGTGACTCACAAGGTTCTGGTCTCTCATCGTTGTTTGCTTGTAAACAAAAATTATGTGACAGGTGAAATTAAGAACACAATCTTCTTTACCTCCTAATGTATTGCACAAGTTGACTAAAGGTATTTACTTAAAAAAGTAACTACAAATATTTAAATGTATATATAAAAATAAAATACATTTACGGTATTGAAAAACCCTCCCATGGGTATTTCCAAATACCCTGCTATACTGTATACCACCCAAGCCTATTGACATTTACTGTGTTTAACTCACCAGTTTAAACCTCTGTAGAGGAATCCCACTCAGATCCACAGGGCTTCTCTCAGTGATGTTCACAAAGCGAGCCTCCAACACTGCTACTGCACACAGCACATGGACCCACCTACAACCCAACATGTCAATACACAACATCATTAGTGGCTTATAAACAAAATGTAAACCCAGTAGATATATTTCAAAAGAACATCCAACTATGTGAACAGAAGGGTACATAAAGAGATCAGTAAATGTTCAGTGTGTGATTTAGACTAGCCCACTCCCTGATATAAGGGGATCTGTCTGGCACAAGGACTTACTTGTTGTTGTTGGCTTTCTGCAAGGCACCACCCCTCAGCGAACACAAACAGCAACTCTGCAAGGAGAGCAAACTGTCAACTACCATAATCCCAGTTATGTAAACATACATACAGCCAATGGCAAGGTGTGGTACCTGCTACCTGATGACCAGTACCAGTCAGTCACATATCATTAGAAGAACACTGCAAACACTACTGCCAGATCTAATGACCGTTTAGAATACTGCAAAGTTTGCAAACACTACTGGCAGTCAGTGCCAGCAACATATACTTGGGTCAGGTGAGGTCAGACACAATGAACAGCCACTTGGAGGTGTTGTGATGTGTTGTGGAGACACTGACCTCAGTCATGGAATTGGCCTTACAGCGAGCACACTTCCAGTCCTTAGTCACACTCTCTGGATCCACGCCATAACAGCCTGGAAACACACAACCAAACAAACACCATTACCTAAGTGGTTAAATGTTGTCGCCAATGAACCACAAGGGAGCATAGGTTGCATAGTGCATACTCATTTACTGACAGGATTTCACACATTCGCATGATTGATAGTGCATCTAAACTATGTTGTGGACAGAGATAATTAAATAACTTCTAGAGTTGAAACAGTCTGCACTTAACTCCTCTTAACCTGCTAAAGTAGAGTACTGCTCTTACCTGGAATGATGGGGTTAACTAGAACCGCCATAGGCCAATGACGTTCGATTTTGTTAAGAAATAATCTGCCAAAAAAATACTAAAGTCCTGCTACTTCAGACTTTTCCTAAATATATTTTACATTGCTCAGTTGTCTGAATTTTTTCAATCATAAACAGAAAAAGTATTTATATTTTTTAAACAGCTATTACTAACTTAAGGGACCATGCGTCCCTCTCCTTACTGAATGAATGTCGTAAATGGATGAATGGGCGATAGAAACTGATAATTGTGCATGTGACGTCCCAATTTCATTTGAATGAACTGAATGATGAGAGTAAAAGAGGATGATTGAATTTAGAACAGTAGTGTAATGAAGCATTGTGTAGTGTGTAGTTCACAATGGCAAGCCGAACCAAATGAATGGATGCACTGACAGCATTGCAAATCCTGCAGAATTTAGATGAGCTGGAGTCAGATCGAGGATCGGATATTGAGCTTGAAATCCACGTTGCTGCGAAGAGTTTTCATCTGATTCTGAATTGTCTTCTAGCCTCTGCCTCCGATGCCTGAGCCTAGCCACAGAAAAAGCAGAACAGGGCCAAGGTAGACGCCTTTGGGTAGAAAAGACTGACAAGCGCGCAACAGGAACATTCTCAGAGAGAGCAGGCCCGTCACCTCACGCAAAGAGACAAATTGCCAGCGGACTCGACAGTTTTCTTTGTTTATGTGACATGCAGATGTTGCAGCACATCAGAGATTGTACTGTCGCTCATGCTCACAGAAAAGGAAACAGTATGTGGGACATGTCTATGGATGACCTCAAAACATTTATTGCACTCTTGTATGTCCACGGGGCATACGGGGGAAAAAGTATTGATGTGGAGTCATCATGGTCCGATAGTTATGTGGTGGACTTTTTCCAAGAGACCATGCCACACAACCTCTTCAGAGAGACTATAAGACACCTGCGTTTTGATGACATAAGACCAATACGTGTGCAGACGGAGAGGTTCGCCGCCGTCTCACACACCTGGAAAAGTTTTATGAAGAATTACATTGCTCGTTACTGTTAACTCTAAATGACACAACGACTAGGTTCCAGTTTAACAACGTTTACTTCACTGTATCTCCATGGTACATAGTTGCCATTACACTCAGGCCCGGTCCAACCAGGGAAACCTCTGCACGGCGCTCTAGTAACAGAGTGAGAGCACAGTAATAACAGAAGTATAGGGATACTTAAAACATCAACTTCACAGTTACAAGCCAGGAGAGAACATAACTGTTGATGAGCAACTGTTCCCAACCATAGCTCGGTGCCATTTTACCCCATACATGGCCAACAAACCGGACATATTTAGAATTACATTTTGGTTAGCCGATGATGTCGAAGACAAGTAAGCTACATGCTCAATGGTTTTCCATATTTGGGGAGAGATGAAACCAGGCCAGCGGGTGAGCGACTGTCTTGAGACTAGTTGAGCCTTACATGGGTAAAGGCAGAAATGTGACCACGGACAACTTCTTTACATCAATTTCCCTGGCAGACAAGTTGATTGCAAAGAAGACTAGCCTGCTCAGAACAGTGAACAAACAAACAGAGACGGGAGCTGCCGCCCTCTGCACAACACAACATACCAGTGGCGCTGTACTCCATATCAGTGATGGAGAATGGTAAAGCAACACTCACGGTTTACAGATGTAAAATTAAAAAACTGTTTGAGATTATTTGAAAGGTGCTATACAAGTTTTTAAAAAATATGCATGTGTAAATATTATCTCCTTTTATTATATTACATTAATATTATTGTTATTATTAGCATTATTATTCCATATCATTTTAACCTTTTCTATTCTATGCAATACTGTAGGTTGGTGTGGATATACTCAACCAGATGGCAGACTGTACTCTGTTAAAGAAGGTACTCCTCGCTGGTCTCTTGCGGTGTTCTACAACGTGCTCGACATGGCTGCCATCAACACGCATGTGTCGTACAAGCAATGCCTTGACAAGATATTCAGCAGGAGAGATTTCATCATGGATCTGGCATGTGAGCTTCGTGAGAACCACATGAACACCAAGAAAGCAGCTACAGCCATCAAGGAGGCAGCCAACGAGTCCACCAAGCAGGCAGCGCTTCCTTCCACCCACTCGGGAAAAATACACAATATCATGTTTGCAGGCGCACACGAAACAAGTCCTATGAAAACTGTGTGCAGTGCAACCGATTTGTTTGTGGGGCCTGCTCACACAAAGCCCCGAAGCTGTATTTCCATGTATTTATGCAATTCATCCTATATAATTGTTCATACACATTTATAAAGCTTTGGTGCTTTTGTTTACGCATATAGCAAATCATTTGACCTGCACCTTACTTTCTAATGTGAAGAAGCTGTAACTGGACTGCATTACTTAGTATAACTAATTACATCTACTAATTAAATTGATCAAATGTATTACACTGTAATGTTTTTATTGTAAGGGAAAGAAAATGGCCTATACCTTTTTCAGTAAGACTTTATAGAATTATACTAAACATATCCTGACTATCTAAACAGATAACTATTGTTATGTTTTACATGGATATATTTCCACAAATATTTCTTCATGTAATTCATCTTTTACAATAGTTTATGCACACTATTTATCAAGTGATAGTGCTTATGTTTGCACACCTTGCCGGTTGATTTGCATCTGATGTGTATGCTAAAGGGGATGCCTGGCAACGTTCTCTAGTGGGTACTTATAGGCTGAAAGGTCCAGAGGTTCTAGTGTTAAAAAGGGGTGGCGTGCTGGGTAAGTAGTAGTACTGACTGGTGTGTACGCGGACGCTGCAGTGGGAGCAGCTGATGAGCAGGCTGGTGCCGTCTGGATCCAGGTGAGGGGTGGTTGGGGCCGGGGCTCCAGGTTCCTTCTCCTTAGCGCCCTCCTCTGGCTCCGTGGTGGTGGTGAAACACATCTCAGGGATTAGGGGCTTGGTTCTCAGCCTGCCTCCAGGCAGTACCACTGGAGGGTCCGTACCGTCATCAGCACACTCCATCTGCAAATGAAACAAATCATATTTAGCAACTCTTGGGAGGACAATAACTCTCATTCAAATTGTTTAAACAAATGATTTTCTGTGTTTGTCTTCATCAGCACACTCAGTCTAGCCATGGCTAGAGGAAGGGACAACGTAATACAGCTACTCAGACAAACCTGAAATAACTATCGCTGTACAGTATATCAGAACTGAGAAGAGGAGCATTGGGGAAGGTTCTAAAATGACAAAAACTTCTCCCCTGAGACAGAGTGAAAAAAGGGGGAACAATCACATAATAGGAGTTTTCCTCTCAGAGAAACCCCTGTAGATTATTGACTGACAGAGTACAAGACTTTTAGAAGACTAACTTCCCAAATCCCCTGCTGAGTGTCTCCTCCTCGGCCATTGGTGATCTCTCTCTCTCACACACACACACACACACACACACACACACACACACCTCCCTCTCCTCACCTGCTGGTATGCCTGGAAGAGTGAGCACACCGAGCAGTATGGGGCCTGGAGGCCCATGCAACTGTTGTACTCCTTCTCTTTCTTCAGGTTGGGAGGCCTATTCTGCCACAGGTGGGCCAGGGGCTTGGCCCACGACTCTCCCTCTAACCCATCCTCCTCTAATGGGGGCTGCTCTGGCAGCTCTTAAAAAGACATCAAAATAAATATATTTTAGAGTTAGCACATTTCATATCCCAAACGACTTACAGAACTGTCGATATTGACAGTGGCCCATGAAAGAAATCTAATCCAATCCATCAAGCTATATGCTCTAATCCCCTGAGCCATTGGAACCAAATAGACAGTTATGAAAACACACAGACAAACTACTATCATGCCATCAAGAATGCCAACATAGATATGAGTGAATGATGCATCCTCACTTCTAATCCATGGAGGAACATGCCTGACACTGCTTTTCTACAAGTCATCATATCCATTGCTTAGTTAAAGGAAGCCTAACTGGGGCTAAACTATGTGAGTGAGGAAGTGATATTTTAACTTACCCTCGTCACTCATGTTGTCTTTCATCAGACGGTGGTGACAAGGCAGCTTCCCCAGCTTGCTGGGCACAGCGTCATCCTCCGCTCCCTCCTCTGCTCCCTGGTGGAAGAAAAGGGGTTAGCAACATAATCATTAGCGCTGCTTCATTCAACATGTACAGTACATCTGACCTCAGAACAAACATGATAAAGCAAATCCTACAGACGGAGGTTGAGTGAGATGTGATGTTTGGAGTCCACTCCTCTCACCTTGCTGTCTTCCGGTTCCTCTCCTTCACTATCACTACTATCGTTTCTTCTCTCCTCCTTGCCCTCCCTGGTCTCTCCCTCGCTGTAGTCTCCCTTAGCGTAGCTGTGGACGTGCAGCACGTCTGCAGGGCTCAGGGTCCTCTGAAAGAGCTGGTAGACAGGGCTGGAGCTGCTGGCTGGGTGGGAAGGGCTGGAGCTGCTGGCTGGGTGGGAAGGGCTGGAGCTGCTGGCTGGGTGGGCAGGGCTGGAGCTGCTGGCTGGGTGGGCAGGGCTGGAGCTGCTGGCTGGGTGGGCAGGGCTGGAGATGCTGGCTGGGTGGGAAGGGCTGGAGCTGCTGGCTGGGTGGGCAGGGCTGGAGCTGGAGCTGCTGGCTGGGTGGGCAGGGCTGGAGCTGCTGGCTGGGTGGGCAGGGCTGGAGCTGCTGGCTGGGTGGGCAGGGCTGGAGCTGCTGGCTGGGTGGGCAGGGCTGGAGCTGCTGGCTGGGTGGGCAGGGCTGGAGCTGCTGGCTGGGTGGGCAGGGCTGGAGCTGCTGGCTGGGTGGGCAGGGCTGGAGCTGCTGGCTGGGTGGGCAGGGCTGGAGCTGCTGGCTGGGTGGGCAGGGCTGGAGCTGCTGGCTGGCTGGGCAGGGCTGGAGCTGCTGGCTGGCTGGGAAGGGCTGGAGCTGCTGGCTGGCTGGGAAGGGCTGGAGCTGCTGGCTGGCTGGGAAGGGCTGGAGCTGCTGGCTGGCTGGGAAGGGCTGGAGCTGCTGGCTGGCTGGGAAGGGCTGGAGCTGCTGGCTGGCTGGGAAGGGCTGGAGCTGCTGGCTGGCTGGGAAGGGCTGGAGCTGCTGGCTGGCTGGGAAGGGCTGGAGCTGCTGGCTGGCTGGGAAGGGCTGGAGCTGCTGGCTGGGTGGGAAGGGCTGGAGCTGCTGGCTGGGTGGGAAGGGCTGGAGCTGCTGGCTGGGTGGGCAGGGCTGGAGCTGCTGGCTGGGTGGGAAGGGCTGGAGCTGCTGGCTGGGTGGGCAGGGCTGGAGCTGCTGGCTGGAGGCTTCACATCCTCACTGGGGCCGGCCTTCTCTGAGCTCTGGGGGGAGGGTTCTGGGGCCGCTGGTTGGGTTGACTGTTTGTTAGTCTGTGGCTGAGACTTAATTGGAGTGGATTTAAGAGAGATTTTGGCTTTCATCTGAAGTGCTAGCTTTCGGCTGGCGTTTGTGTTTCGGTTGGTCTTTGCGTTGGGTGGTGGCTTTGTTCGCTCATTTTTAACGTCTTCTGGCTTTAGCTCTGAAATAAACAAACAACATGAAAAACTGGAGGCACTGTCTAAATCAGTGGTATTCAAAGCCGAGGAACTGCAGTGGGGTTGACAATTTTTCTTTTTAAAGGATGAGTACAGATTATTGTATGGGACAATATACAAAAGGTATATTGAAGGTTATTTGTGATTGTAAAAATAGAAATTTACTGATTTTAAGGTTGAATACCACTGGTCTAAATTATCTCCCTCATAAACCACATTTCCATCCACAGTTTTCATGCGGGTAAAGTCATACGGTATAAAAAAATTTCACGACAGCTGTGGTGTAAACAGGTAGTGTCGGTACAATTAATACATGCAGACAGAATTTGTTTGTTCGACATGGTGGGATCTTTTTGTGTCGGTCAAATTAATTATGCGAGAAACACCTTTATGCGCAAATACTGTCACGCGATGATATGGTGTGTGGTCCTCCCACTACGACTCGGAAAACTATGCAGTTTATTAGGCTACAGATGAAATAAGTTATGATGAACTTCACAGGGAGGTGAAAGTGCAAGGTGATCTTGATGCTCCTTTCCAATAAATATTGGGGGTCTTATTCTGGTGACACGATTGATATTTGACTGCAGTTTGACAAATAATATCCATAATAATCTCATCATGTAGACTAGCCTACCCGCAAGCTGTTGGCTAGAACACACGTGTTTGTGTGACAAAACAAAATCGGTAGAGTTGAAAACGCGATGGAAACACAACAAGCTTTAGATTTCTATTCTGTACATAAAAAAGTACATTTTGTGTGCACTACGTCATCACACACCACTGGTGGGAAAATGCGCATATTTTCTTTATGCAGATTTTGAATATTTGCATGAAAATCTGTCGCCAATTGGATGGAAACCTAGCTATAGTCTAACAAGTCAATATGCAGTAGACTAGTGTCAGTGACTGTTTAATTGTTTGGTGGCATAGTTAAAGATGAACTGAGCTACCTTTGTACCCCAGTACAAATATTGTTTGATTGAGGTACCTTTGTGTGCCGGACTGAGTCCCTCCTCCTCCTGGCCCAGCTTGGCTTTCTTCTGGTCCACCTCTCCCTCCTCCTCCTCCTCAGCCTGCTCAGTGTCTCCGTCCTCTGCTGCCTCCACATCTCCTCCTCGCTGGCGCTTCTTCCCAACCTTCGGCTTCGGGCTGCATTGGACAGAGAGAGAGGAACCGTGAATGGTAAAAAAATAAAAATACAATGTCTCTTTTGAGAAACTTGCTCAAAGTGGTGACCAAAGCCCAGGATGAATGAATGCTTTTATGAGATAATTAAAGGGGAAATCTGCAGTTGAAAAAACAAGAAAACAGACACCACGCCACTTGATTAGGTGAACAGCTGAGGGATGGGGTTGGAGAAATGTAACCACTCAAATTCAGCTATGGATGCAAGGACTGACCATCCATGAGATCAAAAGTATAGTTTACGCTATACCCTATATTAGTAAGGTATGACAGTTGAACTAAGCTTATGAGGCATTTATAAGTTATATTCTTCAAGAATCACTGGGTATATATAATTAATTAAAAAGTAAAACAGTTAATGTAGCAATCACAAATTGCCCCTTTAATATAGATATAAATATACACTGAGTACAAAACATAAGGAACACCTGCTCTTTCAATGACAGACTGACCAAGTAAAAGCTATGATCCCTTATTGATTTTACTTCTTCAATCAGCGTAGATGAAGGAGATGAGACCGGTTAAATAAGGATTTTTAAGCCTTGAGACATGGATTGTGTATGTGTGCCATTCAGAGGGTGAATGGGCAAGACAAAATATTTAGGTGCCTTTGAACGGGGTATGGTAGTAGGTGCCAGGTTAACCGGTTTGAGTGTGTCAGGAACTGCAACATTGCTGGGTTTTTCACGCTCAACAGTTTCCCGTGTGTATCAAGAATGGTCCACCACCCGAAGGACATCCAGCCAATTTGACACAACTGTGGGAAGCATTGAAGTCAACATGGGCCAGCATCCCTGTGGAACGCTTTCGACACCTTGTAGAGTCCATGCCCCAACGAATTGAGGCTGTTCTGAGGGCAAAAGGGGGTGCAACTCAATATTAGGAAGGTGCTCTTAATGTTTTGTACACTCAGTGTATATGACGTTACACCAGCTGGCGACAATACTACACTACAGTAAAGCATGGACCTCTTCTCCTCCTGAGTGGTGGTGCCTGGGGTATTCTCCTGGTCAGGGGCCTCGCTGGGGCTTGGACACTCCTTCCCAGGCTCCGTCTTCTCTCCCTTCAGGAACTCAGCAGCCTCTGGCGTGGGCTTGGAGTGGTCAATAGGAGTGTTGTCCTTCCCTGCCTTCCAGGCCTTGTAGCGGTCTGGTTGGAACTTCCTCACAAACACATCCATGGAGATCTTCACCATGTCCTTACGGCACGAGCACTGGGGGAGGAGGGAGGACAGGGATTGGTCATGAGAATATTACACAATAAATGCAACCAATTTGATCTAAAGCAACTTACGGTATGAGTGCATACATTTTAGTATGTGATCCCTGGAATTGTACACACGACCATACAAACTGAGTAACACAAGACCAACCACAGTTCACACTAAATAAATGACTTGGTTTAATGCATACTATGTGTTCATTCATTTAGTTGTACATACCAGTGTGGCTATTTTGCCATAATCGATCCATCGCTGTGTGGCAAAGTTAGTGGACTCAGCACAGTTGAAGCCGTGGTTGAAACCAGCGTGGTAACCGAATGGGAAGGTCACTATGAACTGGCCTGCCTCCTGGGTGATCTAAACACACAACAGACACAGCGTCAGACCGCCGGGTTTGTATTTTGTTGCTGTATCCCAACTTTGTGAAGAAAAAAGATATATATATATTAACCAGAAAAGAAAAAAACTAGTTAATCTATAGGTAGACACATTACATGAAATAGTACCATCAAAAACAGCTGAATCATGCCACTGTAACAATCTACTGTATATCTAGAAAAGTTTAGGTTGGTAAATCTGATAACATCTTGTCATTGAAGAGCGGTCACCTTCTCAAATGGTATGCCATATTTCTTCAGGATGGAGGGTGAGATAAGAGTCATTTTATGGCGCAGGAAAGCTTCACAGCTCTGAGCACTCCCAGGAAAGAACCCTGCATGAACAGGAATCAATGACATTAGGAATTCTGCTGATCACTGTCTGATAATGTGTTGACATGAAGAATATTGATAAACAATGAGCAGTGTTTCCCCTAGGATTCTTTTCAGCAGCGTTGGAAGAGTTGGCGGGTGGTGGGTCTTAGGGGTTAATGGGGTCTTCCAAAAATATTTTTTTTTTTTATGCGCAGCTGCTAAACGCAAAAAGGGGAAACTAATGAGGAATGAGGATCAATTAGGAAATTCCTTTCTACCATAGGAGGCTGGTGGGAGGAGCTATAGGAGGACAGGCTCATTGTAATGGCTGGAATGGAATGAATGGAACGGAATCAAACATATGGAAACCACATGTTTGACGTCATTCCATTTATTACATTCCAGCATGCCTCCTCTGCTCCACATACCTTTAGCGAGGCGCTCCAATCTCTTCCCATGTTCAGGGGGAACAACATACCTGCAGAGAGACAAGAGTACCGATGTAAATGGTAGTCAAGATGCTATGTGTTAGGTAAGTAAGTAAATCAAGTAAGGCTTCTCCTAGCTAGAGCGGCCCATAGGGTAGGAGTTTCTGTAGCATGAAGCAGCTTGATGTACAAGTAAACCTCCTGGACAGGACACTAGTGTTGGGATTACATACAATAACACACACTCCATTTGTAAGCTGTAAAATAGACATACGGTAAATATCTATTGGTATAACTTCACTGAAACGTGTGTGTGGTGTTTTTTTATCTGTGCAAAATACATCAACAACATTTTACCAGGACTTTGGCTCTCCAAAGTGCAGGTAGTTGATGCTGTAGAGATCCATATCTTCAGTGTGCCAGGCGAAGGTGCTTTTCCACATGCCAAAGTACAGGTAAGCAGTGTTCACTCCTTTTATCTTGATCCCACTCTCCCTCTCCACAGTGTCCAGGATAGTGTTCAGATGACCAATGTTCCACTCTGTCACATCCTAGGAGAGATAGAGATGGAGAAGAGAATGTTGGTGAGGGTAAGGAGAGACATTGACATTTCAACTCTAGGTTGTAAGTTCAAATCCCAAGTGAAGCCAAATGTGGGCTGTGCTGTTAGGCAAACCGACAGTGTGTGTGTGTGATGATAGGAATAACTCACTGGGTCGTAGAGGGTTCCGTTGATGTCCGCTCCATAGAGAGGTGGGTTAAAAGTCAGGTTCTTCCAGAACTTTCTCTCCAGCTCCTCAAAATCCACATAGCGGGGATTACAGAACCTACAATGACAAAGGATGATTAGATGTGACAAACAAAACTAATGACATCTTGCAGTGATTTCAGAACTATAGCCAGTTACAACCATGTATACCTGTTACAATCGTTTCCATTTATTTGAAGAACAGCACAGATGGAAAGTTTGGTAACAGAATGACAGCACAAACCGTCATGTGTTTTTGTAAAAATGTCAGTGAAAATTGTTAAAACTAGTCCTTGAGCATAAAGCTGTATGGTTTGTTTAACTTTGCAATTATTGAGTTTTGTTTGGCATACATTTGAAAGTGACAAATCTAAGTCTCAGCATTACCCCGTTACCATGGAATTACCCATAACAGTACGAGGGCTCACTTGTCTGTGTTGGCAGTCTTGCGGAACTCTCGGACAGTCATGGGTTTCTTCTGGATGTTGTACTGTGTGAAGAGACCTGACTGGCCCGACACCACCTGCTGTATAGGAGCAGGAATCACCAGGTCATCTATGTCATCATAGGTACGTCTAGGCTTCCAGTCTTTGGGTGGAATAACCTGGAAAATACATACCAAACATAGGATTGTGTTAGTCTTTATACAGAGTGCATTTTTCTCAGAACAGGATATAGATAGGCCTATAGATCTTTGGTTGCACCTCGTCTGATGTTGGTTAAGCACCTTCTACTCCTCTCCAAACAGGATATAGATCAACATTAAAAACACAGGGGAATAAATGCTTATGATCTTCAGAAAAGTAGACGCAAACACACACACAGACACACACCTTAGCCATTCCAGCTCGGTGTGCTCCCTGTGACTCCATGTAGGCAATGTAAAGGCTGAAGTCCTTAAACTCTTCCTTGGTAGGGTGAAAGGTCATGATCCTGGAGCCAGGAGTCTGCTGGGACGCAGTGTCTGTCGCCATCATCGAAGAGTCGCTCTGATCTGCAGACACTGGACAAGAGAACACATTTGTTTTGATCAGATGTATGTGTTAATAATTTCTCTAAAACTTTTCATCACATAGAAAATGTTGCAACTACTTATAATTGGCCTATGTGTGGTGCAGTTGATAACTAACAAACAGATGTTTTAGAAATGTTCTAAACTAGCCTAAATCGTTCTGGTAGACTTGATCACCTTTCGCCCCCTATAGTTAAAGCACAAAGTTAATCCTACAATGGTCACTAACTACCGTAAACACATCACTGCAAAAAAATAGCAATACACATAACACAATATATACATGTTTTTTGTGGGACTGAGGGGCTAGGGAATAATAATGTCGTCGTAATTACTTCAGACTATAGCTAGCTAATATCAACAGCTAAGCTAGCTAGCTAGTAGCTGGCTAAAATATCAACAACAAAAATCTAATTCAGTCGGCCAGTTAGCCAACGACGTTGCTTCGCTCATTGATGTCCAGTAACCCAATCTAATTCCAAATATTTACCTCCTTCGTGAGAGATAGCTAGCAGCGTTAGAAGCTCTCTAACTTATTTGTCGAACCTTTCGTAATAGATTACAACAAAGTTTATAACATGCTAATGTCACACTAGCCAGCTAACGCTAGGTCTTTGATAAGTTCCTGCCCACCTGCCGATTGTGATTGGACGACATCATGATTAAAGTAATTCCTAAGTTTGTGATTGGTTGAATGCCAAGTCATTTAAGGACAGGGCCCAGTGTCACTTAACGCCCGGAAAATATCTAGCATTAGCATGTTACCTTACACACCTGCCTGTATCATACCTCTGATTCAGTTATTAATGTATAGCAATGGTAAAGTAATAACGTAGGATCATGCCATATTATACAAACATGTTAAAGATAACAATGGAACAGAGACAACTTTGAGAAGCAAGTAGGCTAGCTAGCTTGCTAATGTCAGTGTAGCATAGCTAGCTAGCTAATTGCATGCGCAATTATTTCCAGCAACATAAGTTACTTAAAAGCACACACGTTTTAAAGTTTGAAATATTACCTTACAAAAGCTGACCGAGTAATGAGTGAATGCTCGCCCCAAATCTTCAAAAGCAGAAGATGATTTGTTCACAAATCACCGTGGGCAGGGAAGAGACCTCCATTACTCCAGTGTCGTACGCATGCTCAGTGTGTTTGTTTACAAGGATGAAGGAGGGCGTGTTCCACGCTCTAGCGAGACTAATCAAAATGCAGTATTTTGCTATGACTCTGCCTTATTATACCACCCAGGCCCTAATATGCAAAATGTAGCCTTCTTAATACGTTATAGCTCATTAAAAAAGTGTATCACTAGCTTTCCCCATTTACCTATCCCATTTCTCTTTACAAATACCACATTTTCTCCAGCACAAATGTCATACTTCAAAATTGTGAAAGTCATAGTGTATCATATTTTGCAATATGATGTTAAAATGGCCAGCATTGGTGTTGAATGCCAGTATTGATGTTGCTTCATCCCTTAGGACAATTATTTTATTATACAGTACATGTAAATTGCATTTTCCGGGCACTGACTTGTCAAACTGTTATTCCATTAGGTCTGAACAATGTGCAACATCCTACTGATCACAATTCTAGTACCTACTGTCGAACACAATGCAGTGTATGCCATTGTGTGACTGATATTCCAGGGGTTCTGTCAGGACAGTGGCTGAAGCACTATGTTCAGGCTGTCCAAGGACATAGGAGGCCCTAGCTGGAGGGGTATCTTCCACCATCTGTTCCACTGGCAGTACCATGGAGGGATGGGGGGTACGAGAGGGTACAATGTGTGTGGGCTGTGTATGTGTGTATGTGTGTGTGTGTGTGTGACATGCAAAGTCCTCCAAATATATATATATATATATATATATATATATATATATATATATATATATATATATATATATATATATATATATATATAAAAAGAGACACACGACCACATTATATATAAAAAAAACAATTATTCAACTTTATTAACATCAAAGTTTTTGCGACATTTTTTCCCTCTCCCTTTTATTAACAAATAGAAAACAGATTGTGTATACAACAGACTGAACCCCTACGGCACTATTCGAAGACGAAGTGAAATAAATCCTTGTTTTTGCAGTCCGTCCATCCGGGCCCACTCAATCTAAATTCACCTCACTTTGCAATCCTATAGCCTCACTTAAGAGAGAAACGCTTGACTATAATGTAGAGATCCTCCACCGTACATTGATGCTGCTTCTTTGTATTACAGGAGATTGTCCTTCTGTAGCAGAGTGAGGAGATAATACAGTATATTACATCAGTTATACCATGGATGTAGAGTCAGTGACAGTCAGAAGAGAAGTTCATCTGGGTTGTTGTCAGTTATCTGCAGGGATGTCCAGTCATGGGGAGCTAGGTCAGTCGTATGCCAATGGACATGTCCAGTTCATAGATCATAGTTCAGAATCAGCAGGGTAATCAGAAATACATGGATGGATAACTGTATGTCTGGTCACTCGAACACTTCTCATTGGAGGGGTGTTGTCTGTGATGTGAAGCTCTGTATATCTGTTGCTCCAAACCAGGTCTAGCTTGTCAGATCAGACCAGACAGAGCCAGGGTCCAGTTCCTCTGTGCCTTTTGGGAGTGTTGGTTTGGTTCAGTCCACCTCAGGCCAGGCTTGGACAACTAGGGTGCTGTTACAGGACAAACACCTTTTCATGAACCGGTAGTTTTCTTTATTTCTTTAATTGTGTCTGGAGTTTGGACTTGAGCTCTTTGAGCGACAGGCATTGAGAAAATCACAGTAAACAGAATCTGTACATTGTAGATTATTCATCAAACGTCATTAAGATTAATCTATTCAGTTTTTATAAACATAGATGCGTTTATTTTATAGTAGTTCACTAACTCTGGTGTACATGTGTTTGATCTCTTTTTGGGGAGATAGCTGTTTTTGTAAAGTACCAGGAAGTGAAAATGCTTATAAAAGTTGTGTCCCCCATATCCCACTGAATACGACCAACCAGAGAATAAAGAACTTTAGAATATTATAATTATGGTAAAAAATTAAATTATTATTAGCAGCTCTGAGTATGCGTAAGTGTCCAGTATTAATAATAACTCGGAGCATGTTTAAAATACATGTCCCTTGTGTAAAAAAAAAAGAAAAAAAAAAAGATACAAATTATGATTTTAAAATATGACCCATTAAGACATACAATAACCAGTGTATAAATGATTAGAAAACAAATTCTAAATAATAATAATAATAATAACATACTTATAATGGGTAATAGTAATGATATTAATGCATAATAAAAGCTGAAAAATAAAGTTTGCCATATAAGCAGGTGGAGGAGGCAGAAATAGTGTTTTTATGGCGTGTGCATTAGCTATAGAGACATCAGAATGAAGTATACTGAAGCTTTTTAGGTTCTTTTTTAGTAGTGAAGGGTTTTAAAGCAGGTTTATTGTGCCAGTCAGTCCAGGAGTACTGCTCCACCTGATTGACGGTCGTCCAGTCGGACTTGTGCTCTCTCCCACTCCTCCTCACTCCTCTTCCTCCCCCCTCTCCCCTCGCCCCTCCGGCAGTTTCTGGACAGTATGGATATAGCTCAGAAGGGACACACGGGTGGCGCTCCTGAACCCCAGGAGTCCCAGTGCATTCTGGGAGTGGTTATTATGTTGCATAGTGGTCAAAGCTTCCAAGGTACTCTAGAGCTGCCCTGTAACACAACTGGTACTGGTCCTGGGAGGGGAACAGAGGGGAACAACATCAGAGTCAGTCAACAGGTGAGATCTACTAGAATATAATCATGGTACCAATTTCTCCTGGGAGAGTGTTTGTATCAATGCAAATAAATTGTTTTAAGTTTATTTGTCATGTGTAATGAATACATTGGAAATCTTACTCTATTTCAATTGGATAAACCAGCTATTTTAACTGAATCCCTGCTTTGCTTAAATACCTCTATCTAGGAGAGGACCTGTACTCCCACCCCCTCGCTACCCAGTCCCTCCCAGACTCCCACCAAAGCTGTGTGACTGTACTGTACCTCTGTCTGCACCATGGCAGGTCTCTGGGTCCTCAGTGTCTTGACAGTCTGGAAGAGGTCCACCACCCCCTCGTACCTCATCCTCTCCAGCACGATACTCAGGGTGATGAACACACCAGTCCGCCCAACACCAGCACTGTGGGGGAACAGGACAGGGAGAGTTAGTACTATACACACACAGTACAAGCATGCATGCACGCACGCACACACACACACACACACCACACACACACACACACCACACACACACACACACTCATCAGTTTTTCTTACCTGCAGTGCGCAGAGATTGGTCCATCCTGGCCAAACTGTTCCTTGGTTTTATGCACTTGACCAATGAAGTCAATGAAGCCCTCTCCAGTTTTTGGCACCCCTTGTTCTGGCCAATCAGTGAACTGGAACTGCCGAATGGTCCTAGACTGGCCATCCTGAGAGGTGGTGAGGGGTGGATGAGGGACATAAAGTGAGTCATTTCTCTAAGCCTTATTATAAGACATTATAAAGGCTCATACATGCTTATGACACTTTATAAAGCATTATACATGCAGAATTTGAATAATGCAAGCAGTATGTTTTCTACAGTGTGTTTTACAGCTCTTTATGTCTGTGCTGTAAAGTGCAGAATGTATTTCTATAAGCAAAACAGCAGAGCATAGCCACAGCACTATGTGTGGGTTGAAAAACACCTCCCATGTTATTTTCCTCACCTTTGCACAGCAGCACTTTTCAATTCATTAGAAAGATAAACTTAGCGCACCGCTTAGCCCTCTACGTAGATCAGAGAGATATAAGTTACTAGGGAGAAGAGGGAGGATGGATGGAGAGATGGACATACCCTGGCGTCTGTGACCTTGAACTCTCGGAGGATGTACTGGGGCATGTTGTACTCAGCCATGGGGTCCACTACAAAGTACTGGTATCTGGCAGAGCGCTCAGCTGGCCAGTACTGATGACACTTTTCCTAAGAGACAGACAGACACAATGATAGAGTCAAAAACTATCGCAACACAATACTATCCATGGCATGACTGATGTGTGTGTGTGTGTACTTGCGTGTGTGCGTGTATACTGTATCAATGCCACTCACTCTTCCCATCTCTCTGAGTTTAGTAAGCATGACTACGATGGTAGAGTTGTGTTCCCACAGCATCCTCCAGAAGTCCTCTGTGGTCTCTGCTAGCGGGCCCTGGGTGGCCATGTAGGCCTTCTGCTGCCTGGGGACACGGGACATGGGACACGTCAGGGTGAGGATAACATTATAACACCAAGGGATGTAAGTTACACTTCAATACATCCCCATTGACCTACAGTATCCATGTTGAGCCCTGAGTGGTCCTACTGTCATCTGAGAGGCGCTTGTGCTGATAATGGAGGCTGGGTGTATTTTCATTAAGTTATGCTGCTGACAGATTAAGTGTCTATTCTATTCAAGCCAGTGTGAAAACCGCAGCATTGCGGCTGGGGTCCAGTTCTACTAGATCAACGTTAGAGGGCAGTGTGAAGCCGTGAGTTGTGTCGATGTGATTCTGTTTCTGTCAAGCATCCCTACAAACATGTGAGAGCCAACCCAGCCCAGCGCAAGACACACATATTCGTAGGTCCAGACGCACTATCACACCATGTACAGCCAGACGCACGCACGCACGCACGCACGTGCACACACACACACACACACACACACACACACACACACACACACACACACAGTTGCAGTGTAAGGAAGGGCTGCTGCTGGAACTCTGAGTTCTATCTATATTTTCTATGAGATAACTAGTAAATGAGCCATGCCTCAGCACCTTGTTCAAAGAGTATCTCACAGTTGATGGGTTTGACTCATGCTGCATGGAGATTCAGTTTCTTACAGCTGAATTATTATAGTTTGAGTGTTCTGCTTTGACAATGGCAATAAGCATGCCTGCAAATTAAAGACGCAAAGCTCAAGGTCAGCCATAGAGATCATTGCTCTACCGAGACACTTATCCAGACATTTGCATGTTTAGAGTTAAATAAATACAATTGTTAGTGTAAAATGGCTGCTGAACAAGAGGCTTGCATCATTACGGCAGTGGAATGACCACCTCAGGATATCAGAATACTGGGGCACACCTAACCAGTATGACATCATCATCATTGCATCATCATCATTATCCTCTCCTTCTTCCTCCAAATCATCCTAATCTCCTCTGGCACTTTAAAGATGTGATGCCTGCCTGCCGGGGAGATAGAACACTAACATCTCACTATGAGCCAGGAGAGAGAAAGTCAGCACCCCAAATGGAACCCTATTCCCTATAAAGTGTACTACTTTTGACCAGGACCCTATGGGGCTTGGTCAAAAGTAGTGCACTATACAGGCAATAGGGTGTCATTTGGGACGCAAACTAACACCTCTCTATGTCTTATTTCACTTTTAATTACCGCTACAGGAATTAAAGAGGAATTATACCCCCCTTCCTTCTCTCCCTCAGGTGGGGTCGGCCCCAGGGACTTCATTAGGCACACAGGAGGAGAAGGATGTGTGTGTGTGTGTGTACAGTAGAGTAGGAGGAGGACATCGGAACAGAAAACCACATCAATGAATCCCCCACCACCACAAAAAAAAAAAGAAGCTCCTATTAATTCTGTCAGTCATTAGCGTGTCGTAGCATTGTGCATTACAGCCAATTACAGTATTTACACTTCCATAAAGGAGACGGCTCTATGGGAACCCTCTGATTAGGTACTAATTTGATATGGGACAGTAACTGAACGAGAGTTCCCAAGCACCTCCCGCATGCAAGAACACACGCACTCACACTTCCTGCTGGCTGTTGTGTCTTATATACAGTGCATTCGGAAAGTATTCGTACCTCTTATCTTTTTCCACATTTTGTTACATTACAGCCTTATTCTAAAATTGATTAAATAAATACAAAAATCCTCATCAATCTATACACAATACCCCATAACGACGAAGCGAAAACAGGATTTTAGACATTTTTGCTAATTTATTTTCTATGAGACTCTAAATTTGAGCTCAGGTGCATCCTGTTTCCATTTATCATCCTTGAGATGTTCTTACAACTTGATTAGAGTCCACGTGATAAATGCAATTGATTGGACATGATTTGGAAAGGCACACATCTGTCTATATAAGGTCCCACAGTTGACAGTGCCTGTCAAAAACCAAGCCATGAGGTCGAAGGAATTGTCCGTAGAGCCCCGAGACAGGATTGTGTCGAGGCACAGATCTGGGGAAGGGTACCAAAAAATGTCTGCAGCATTGAAGGTCCCCAAGAACACAGTGGCCTCCATCAATCTTAAATGGAAGAAGTTTGGAACCACCAAGACTCTTCCTAGAGCTAGTCGCCTGGCCAAACTGAGCAATCGGGGGAGAAGGGCCTTGTTTAGGGAGGTGACCAAGAACCCGATGGTCACTCTGACAGAGCTCCAGAGTTCCTCTGTGGAGATGGGAGAACCTTCCAGAAGGACAACCATATCTGCAGCACTCCACCAATCCGGCCTTTATGGTACAGTGGCCAGACGGAAGCCACTCCTCAGTAAAAGGCACATAACAGCCTGCTTGAAGTTTGCCAAAAGGCCCCTATAGAAATCTCAGACTCTCAGACCATGAGAAACAAGATTCTCTGGTCTGATGAAACCAAGATTGAACTCTTTGGCCTGAATGCGAAGCGACACGTCTGGAGGAAACCTGGCACCATCCCTACGGTGATTCATGGTGGTGGCAGCATCATGCTGTTGGGATGTTTTTCAGCGGCAGGGACTGGGAGACTAGTCAGGATCGAGGGAAAGATGAACAGAGCAAAGTACAGAGAGATCCTTGATGAAAACCTGCTCCAGAGCGCTCAGAATGGGGTGAAGGTTCACCTTCCAACAGGACAACGACCCTAAGCACACAGCCAAGACAACACAGAAGAGGCTTCGGGACAAGTCTCTGAATGTCTTTGAGTGGCCCAGCCAGAGCCCGGACTTGAACCTGATCGAACATCTCTGGAGAGACCTGAAAATAGCTGTGCAGCAACGCTGCCCATCCAACCTGACAGAGCTTGAGAGGATCTACAGAGAAGAATGGGAGAAATTCCCCAAATACAGATGTGCCAAGCTTGTAGCATCATACCCAAGAAGACTCGAGGCTGTAATCGCTGCCAAAGGTGCTTCAACAAAGTACTGAGTAAAGGGTTTGAATACTTATGTACAGTGGTTTGCGAAAGTATTCACCCCCTCTTGGCATTTTTCCTATTTTGTTGCCTTACAACCTGGAATTAAAATTGATTTTTGGGGGGTTTGTATCATTTGATTTACACAACACAACATGCCTACCACTTTGAAGATGCAACATATTTTTTATTGTGAAACAAACAAGAAATAAGACAAAAAAAAACAGAAAACTTGAGCGTGCATAACTATTCACCCCCCCCCAAAGTCAATACTTTGTAGAGCCACCTTTTGCAATAATTACAGCTGCATTTCTCTTGGGGTATGTCTCTATAAGCTTGGCACATCTAGCCACTGGGATTTATTTTTCTCCAGCTCCTTCAAGTTGGATGGGTTCCGCTGGTGTACAGCAATCTTTAAGTCATACCACAGATTCTCAATTGGATTGAGGTCTGGGCTTTGACAAGGCCATTCCAATACATTTAAATGGTTCCCCTTAAACCACTCGAGTGTTGCTTTAGCAGTATGCTTAGGGTCATTGTCCTGCTGGAAGGTGAACCTCCGTCTCAGTCTCAAATCTCTGGAAGACTGAAACAGGTTTCCCTCAAGAATTTCCCTGTATTTAGCGCCATCCATCATTCTTTCAATTCTGACCAGTTTCCCAGTCCCTGCCGATGGAAAAACATCCCCACAGCATGATGCTGCCACCACCATGCTTCACTGTGGGGATGGTGTTCTCGGGGTGATGAGAGGTGTTGGGTTCGCGCCAGACATAGAGTTTTCCATGATGGCCAAAAAGCTAAATCTTTGTCTCATCCGAGCAGAGTACCGTCTCCCACATGTCTTTTGGCGAACACCAAACGTGGCTTTTTTCTGGCCACTCTTACATAAAGCCCAGCTCTGTGGAGTGTACTGCTTAAAGTGGTCCTATGGACAGATACTCCAATCTTTGTTGTGGAGCTTTGCAGCTCCTTCAGGGTTATCTTTGGTATCTTTGTTGCCTCTCTGATTAATGTCCTCCTTGCCTGGTCCGTGAGTTTTGGTGGGCGGCCCTCTCTTGGCAGGTGGTGCCATATTCTTTCAATTTGTAATAATGGATTTAATGGTGCTCCATGGGATGTTCAAAGTTTCAGAGATTTTTTATAACCCAACCCTGATCTGTACTTCTCCACAACTTTGTCCCTGACCTGTTTGGAGAGCTCCTTGGTCCTCATGGTGCCGCTTGCTTGGTGCTGCCCCTTGCTTAGTGGTGTTGCAGACTCTGTGGCGTTTCAGAACAGGTGTATATATACTGAGATCATGTGACAGATCATGTGACACTTAGATTGCCCACAGGTGGACTTTATTTAACTAATTATGTGACTTCTGAAGGTAATTGGTTGCACCAGATCTTATTTAGGGGCTTCATAGCAAAGGGGGTGAATACATATGCACGCACCACTTTTCCGTTATTTATTTATTTGAATTTTTTGAAACAAGTTTTTTTTTTCATTTCACTTCACCAATTTGGACTATTTTGTGTATGTCCATTCCATGAAATCAAAATACAAATCCATTTAAATTACAGGTTGTAATGCAACAAAATAGGAAAAACGCCAAGGGGGTTTAATACTTTTGCAAGACACTGTAAATGTCATATTTTGTCATTATGCTGTATTGTATGTAGATTGATGAGTGGGAAAAAACAATTTAATACATTTTCGAATAAGGCTGTAACGTAACACAATGTGGAGAAAGTCAAGGGGTCTGAATACTTTCCGAATGCACTGTAACTCTGAAAACGATAGGTTCTCCTTTTCAAGTTTTTTCTCCAAATATTAACATTGAAAATGTCATTTTTTAGAGCCGTACATCTTCCATTGAGTGTTGCTGGGCAGATTCCCATAGATGGACAGCTGTAGAGTAAAGGATTGTGGATATCAGCAGACATGAACAGAGCCATCACAATAGGTAATCACTGTATTCCTCTGCTAGGAGTGGTTTGTCACCTGTCACAATCAGCCTATTTATTTACCAAAGGAAAAGTGTGAGAAGGAATGGACAGTACTGACAACTGACAAGACAAAGGGAAGGGAAGAGAGGCAGGAAAACACTGGCCTCCATGTCACACCATCATTCACTGCTGTCAGTCGCTGCAGGAAAGGTCCACCTCCTCGCTCATTAGATGAGCTGTGTCTGCAGGATAGATTCTCTCTTCTCTCTTCTATTTCTTCTTCTCTATTCTCACCATCCCCCCCATCTCACTTATTCTAGTCTTCAGAATATGTCATGTCTTGTTTTCTCACAGTCTGAGTCTGAATCTCCTCTACCCTCTCCTCTCCTCTACACTCTCCTCCCCTACCTCCTCCCCTCAACCCCTCCCCTTTCCCCTCCTCCTCTGCTCTCCTCCCCTCTCCCCCCCCTCCTCCCCCTCCTCCCCCTCCTCCCCCTCTCCTCTCCTCTCCTCTCCTCTCCTCTCCTCTCCTCTCCTCTCCTCTCCTCTCCTCTCCTCTCCTCTCCTCTCCTCTCCTCCTCTCCTCTCCTCTCCTCTCCTCTCCTCTCCTCTCCTCTCCTCTCCTCTCCTCTCTCCTCCCCCAATCCTCTTCTCCCCTCCCCTCCTCCCCTCTCGTCTCTCCTTCTCTCCTCATCCCCCTCTATCTCACCTGTATCCGTCGATGAAGCTGGCATTGATGTAGTCAGAGCCCTCCACTCCTCTGATAGGCTGCAGACTCACGCGGGTGGACTCAAAAGGCATGATGTTCACCAGACGGTTCTTGAACTTGTTGCAGGGCAGGTTGGCACTGATGAATCTTGAGGTATGTGCTTTCGAGTTGGCCAGTTTCTGGAGAAGGAAGGGAAGAGGAATGGACAGATGAAAGATACAATCTTGGATTTGTTTTTCTGCAAAATGGCAGCCCCACCACTTGTTTTGTTGAGGGATGCACGGATCTATGCATGGATCAAAAACATGGATCAGATTAAATAACTTTGTGCTATTGTAGAGAAACACCAACCCATAACCATAGAAAGGTAACTACTAGAATTGACCTTACCCATGAAAGTGCAGACACATTGGTCAGAGTCTTTTTCCCATTCTAGTAATTATATTTCTATGCCTCTAACCTGAAGATGACTGTTGCCACAGCTTTTCCTTGACGCCCACCTTCCTTCCCTTCTATCTAGCCCGTCTCTTCAAAGTGCTAAAGTTGGGGATCCCAGCCAGCCTAGCATTACTGTGTGTGAGCAGGGATGTCTGAGGGCACGGGGTTGGGAGCTAACACTCTTATTGATGCATGAAAATGATGAGCTTTTGTTCTCCAGCTTCAAATAACAACCTGCTGATGCAGAGACAACGCCTCTCTCTCTCTCCTTTAAAATTAGTGTCGACAGCACAGCCACAGCCACGAACGGAGACGTCAGGGAGTCGAAAAACACTCCCACACAACATTGGAGACAGCTGTGACGATAGATACACAAACTGACTGTATCCATGCCACAGCAACGGAATAACAAACTACAACCACACAAGACTTTGAAAACTGAAAATCCATCTTCTCCCAAATGAGAGGGGGAGGGTGATTTTTTGTTGTTGCTGGCATTGCTGATGGTGTCCTCCTAATATTGTACTCTGTCAGTAGCAAAAAAGCAAAGTGTCAGTTTCAGAACTTGCTTGCGAAACAAACCTGCCAGTGGAGCCTAATTATACTTTCTACGGACTTACAATCATCCTGCTTGCTGAACAAGTTTGACCCACATCATTTGGGTTGTGGCGGCGCGTCCCCGAGGAGGAGAATGGTTAGAGCTGTTTTGCTTTCCTATAGCGGTAGGCTGTGAGTGGTGGCGTCCCAAATTGCATTCTAATCCCTACACATTGCACTACTTTTGACCAGGCCCTATGGGTCCTGGTCAAAAGTAGTGCACTATATAGGGAACAGGGTGCCATTTGGGACGCAGATAGTGAGTATGTGATGGGGACCAATAGAGTCGCTGGAGCCATGGTGTAGGCCCAATCCCAGGATGCATCAGCTCTCCAACCCATTGAGGCTTTATCTACAGGCTGTCAGACGGTCAGCCTGCCCTAACACTCCTCCCTCACTAGATCACTCTCTTTCTCTCTTTCTCTCTCTCCCTCCCCCGACCCCCTCCCTCTCGTTTCTCATCCCCAGTCCAGAAGATAAGCCATTGAAACAGTGAAACAGAACACCCCTCCTAGGAGATTCTATTCATTTCAGAGTTACAGTGTGAGGATGAAAATCCCTCCTCCTCCTCTTCATCCTGCTCCCAAACACACTGAGACATTAACTTCCTGCTCCCACTGCATCGTGCAGACTGAGACACCACCACCAACAAGAACTGTTCTACTGCTTCTAACTAAATGCCCCAATTAGTAACTGTACCAGTCAAGTCACTTAACCTCAAGCCCAAATTGAATCCCAACTCCCTAGCAAGTCCAAGTCTAAGCGAGTCCGAGTGGAATCATAAGTCCCTTTTTAGTACTAAAGGTTTCGAACAGTCCAATTTTTCAAGCTAGGTTTGTACCATAGAACTGAACTGTACTGTTATGTTCAGGAGGAGAGCTACTACCTACCTTAAACTCTAGCTCCATGGCAGTGACCGTGTCTCCGGGTGTGACCTGGGTGAGTTTCTGGATGTGTGCGTACAGGTTGCGTGCAGGGACCTCTGTGTTACCGCAGGTGGCAGCCTCTAGCAGGGCCTCGTGGATGAAGACATACTGGTCCTCCGTCTGCACCATGTAGTTCCGCTGAGCTCTCATACATGTCACATGACCGTAGATATCCACTGACTTCTCATGCTTCATACGCTCCAGCATGGCCTCGATCACGATGAAGCAACCGGTCCGCCCTACACCAGCACTGTGAGGAGAGACAGGTAACTGTAACTGTAGAGCCATGCACAGACACAGACAGAAACTACTGTAACTACACTGAAAAACTCACAAATCTGGCATTGGAAGAGATTACATGCACACATTCAATGTTTCCGAGGCAGGTTGATGTTTATTGGGATGAATCTTCCAATAGACGGGACAGTGGCAAAGTCAAAATTGGCTATTTATTTGGTTTAGGGTTAGGTTTAAAATCTGATTTTATGACTTTGTGGCTGTGCCAGCTACCCTGCAGAGCTGCCTCCGGTACATGAGTCATCAAAATATATACAGTTGTTGTACAGTCGTGGTCAAAAGTTTTGAGAATGACACAAATACTAATTTTCACAAAGTCTGCTGCCTCAGTTTTGATGATGTCAATTTGCATATACTCCAGAATGTCATGAAGAGTGATCAGATGAATTGCAATTAATTGCAAAGTCCCTCTTTGCCTTGAAAATGAACTTAATCCCCCAAAAAAACATTTCCACTGCATTTCAGCCCTGCCACAAAAGGACCAGCTGCCATCATGTCAGTGATTCTCTCGTTAACACAGGTGAGAGTGTTGACGAGGACAAGGCTGGAGATCACTCTGTCATGCTGATTGAGTTAGAATAACAGACTGGAAGCTTTAAAAGGAGGGTGGTGCTTGAAATCATTGTTCTTCCTTTGTTAACAAAAAGGGCTTCACAGGCAAGGATATTGCTGCTAGTAAGATTCCACCTAAATCAACCATTTATCGATCATCAAGAACTTCAAGGAGAGAGGTTCAACTGTTGTGAAGAAGGCGTCAGGGCGCCCAAGAAAGTCCAGCAAGCGCCAGGACCGTCTGCTAAAGTTGATTCAGCTGCTGGATCGGGGCACCAACAGTGCAGAGCTTGCTCAGGAATGGCAGCAGGCAGGTGTGAGTGCATCTGCACGCACAGTGAGGACTTTTGGAGGATGGCCTGGTGTCAAGAAGGGCAGCAAAGAAGCCACTTCTCTCCAGGAAAAACATCAGGGACAGACTGATATTCTGCAAAAGGTACAGGGATTGGACTGCTGAAGACTGGGGTAAAGTCATATTCTCTGATGAATCCCCTTTCCGATTGTTTGGGGCATCCGGAAAACACCTTGTCCGGAGAAGACAAGGTGAGCGCTACCATCAGTCCTGTGTCATGTCAACAGTAAAGCATCCTGAGACCATTCATGTGTGGGGTTGCTTCTCAGCCAAGGGAGTGAGCTCACTCACAATTTCGCCTAAGAACACAGCCATGAATAAAGAATGTTACCAACACATCCTCCGAGAGCAACTTCTCCCAACCATCCAAGAACAGTTTGGTGACGAACAATGCCTTTTCCAGCATGATGGAGCACCTTGCCATAAAGCAAAAGTGATAACTAAGTGGCTCAGGGAACAAAACATCGAAATTTTGGGTCCATGGCCAGGAAACTCCCCAGACCTTAATCCCATTGAGAACTTGTGGTCGATCCTCAAGAGGCGGGTGGACAAACAAAAACCCACAAATTCTGACAAACTCCCAAGCATTGATTATGCAAGAATGGGCTGCCATCAGTCAGGATGTGGCCCAGAAGTTAATTGACAACATGCCAGGGCGGATTGCAGAGGTCTTGAAAAAGAAGGGTCAACACTGCAAATATTGACTCTTTGCATAAACTTAATGTAATTGTCAATAAAAGCCTTTGACACTTATGGAATGCTTGTAATTATACTTCAGTATACCAAAGTAACATCTGACAAAAATATCTCATAACACTGAAGCAGCGAACTTTGTGAAGACCAATACTTGTGTGATTCTCAAAACTTTTGACCACGACTATGTGCTTGTTTTTGTATTGTGCAGGGCTCATTTGTAAAATATACTTTATTCTCAATATGACTTCCTTGATGAAATAAAGGTAAATAAAATAAATATAAATGTCAACCTATGTTTCTGAGCAGGTACTGGAGATGATATGTTCAGCAAAAAAAAACAGAAAACACCCCGAACACTGAAATCTATTCATATGGTTTGTTTCAATACTTAGGTCATCATCAGGTTGAACATATCTCTGAAGCAGGTCTGAGATGGGGGTTACCTGCAGTGGACCACCATGGGTCCTGCGTCTGTGGGGTTGCAGGCCTTGACCCTGCGGAGGAAGGCCAGGGTGGGGGTGGGGTACTCAGGCACTCCATGGTCCGGCCAGGCCATGAACTGGAACTGACGAATCTCTCTCTTCTCACTGGAGCCATTCTGGTAGAGCAGGAGAGGAGAAAACTATCAGAACACCACAGACACACACAGGTGGCCATATTCTGGGTAGACTCTCTGACAGACATTCATATTTACAACATGTTAGCTCACATGAGATTTGATATTGGCTCGAGAACACATTCCGGAATCATTGCCCTTCCAGCTGGTCAAGAGCAGGTCACGTTTAGGCTACAGTACATGCTATACCTTACCTTATAGAGGGCGAATGTGCGTACGCTGTAGGTAGCCAGCTCCACAGTGTCCAACATGGTCACCTGGATCATCCCATAGGTCTCTGTACCCCGACTGGGCCAGTACTGGTCACACTTCACCTGTTACAGACACAAACACACAGACACAGGACAATGAAGATATTGGACCAAAGCCTTAGTATAGGAGCACTGGAACGAGGGAATCAGAATGAGACAGGGACTGGGGCTGAAGGGGCTTGTGTTGGGGGAATGGGACAGTCAGGAACTAAGTGCTGTGAGAGGGAGGACATGGGACAAGGACTTAGGCTGAGTGAAGGATGACAGCTTGAGGTGCTTCCGCTCCACTGTGCTATCCTTCATGTCCTGGGGGGAGAGAGGAGAGACAGCCAGCTGGAGTTTAGGGGTCCAGCTCTATGGGACTACAGGCTCTGGGACCCTAGCTGGCATGTGCCAGGCAGATGGGGGGCTTCCGCTACACAGTCATGTCCAGGGGGGCTATAGTAACATTGGCACTGGCCTAAACCCTGGAGAACCCTGGAGCTCAGAGCGTGACTTGTGCCTCTTCTCTTTTACTTATTTATTTTATTTAACCTTTATTTAACTCCTCCAGACCTCCACCCCAAAGGGCCATTAGTCAGGGCATTCTGATTAGACAGCAGCCTGGTGCTCAAGGGCCATTGATCAGGGCATTGTGAGAGGGCATTGTGATTGAACAGTCTGGTGGACAGCAGGATTACCACCTGGACACATAATTTCACTGGACTTCCCAAACACACAGCCAAGAGCTAAGTGACCTATCTGACCGAGCACAGGGTAGCCACAAACCTGTCTCCAAAATCTGCTCAGAAAAGTACCGGTCTGGTGCATTTCCTACAAACACAGACCATGTAGATAGATAATACAATTCCTGTTTGGTGATGTTTTATCTGTTTAGCCTACAGGTGCATTCCACCACTTTAACCCAGACTAGCTAACAGGCAGTTGGAAATGACTGCTGTCCCTGACATTACTCCAGCTCCTGTGCTCTGGTCGCTTAATGAAACAGAACAGAACGGAGCGGAGTGGACAGGTGGTCACTCTGGAGGGGGGGTGTCACTGCGTCCCCCATGTCAGCTGCTACGGACAGTCACATGACTTCCTGTGACTGTCCGTAGCTCTTTCAGGTCCTCCCCTCCCATGAATTTCCTCTCTAATCAGAATGATAGCTGAGGCGCATAGAGGTTAGACGACACAGTGGTGGTGTTGGGATATTGCCAGTGGTGACACCCTGCTGTTCTGGTGATAACACACAGGGGCAAAGGTTCAAAGGTGAAAGGTAATTTAATGATGAGTTGACCCCTCATGGGTCTAAAAAGACGTGTGATATTAAGTTTGGCAGGAGCATAATGAACACTGTCAGTGCTTATAAAGGTGTGACACTATGGGATGCCCTTTAGTTCCACAGTTATTAATCAGGCTAGAGAAGGCGTGTGTGTGTGTGTGTGTGTGTGTGTGTGTGTGTGTGTGTGTGTGTGTGTGTGTGTGTGTGTGTGTGTGTGTGTGTGTGTGTGTACTCGTGTGACACCCTTCTCACCTACAAACTTCCTTCTCTCTAAGCTGCCATCATGCAGTCACAGTGTCCATTATTTACTGAGTTTATTCAAACTCCTCGATTAGGGTTTTACACCTTACAGTCGACCCTCACACCTCCTGTCCATTAGCGAGCCAGGGTGAGACCAGGGTGAGACCAGGGTGAGACTACTGGGACTGTTACAGTGTGTGAGTACAGGGTGATTCAACGGTCAGGACGTGTGTGTGTGTCCTGAGACAGTGTTGTGTGTGTGTGTGTGTGTGTGTGTGTGTCCTGAGACAGTGTGGTGTGTATGGTGTGTGTTCAGCACAGAATGTGTACATGGTTGTGAGTGTACTGACATTGTGGTGTGTGTGTGTATATTCAGTCACTCACCCGTGACTTCTCTTCCAGTCTGGTCATCATGACTATAGTGTTGGTCCTCTGCTCCCACACCATCCTCCAGAAGTCACTCAGGGTTTCAGGAAGCGGGCCCTGTGTAGCGATGTAGGCGTTCTGCTTCCTGTAGCCGTCTATGTAGTTAGCGTTGATGTAGTCACTACCTGGTACTCCTGTAGCACAGTGAAGGAAGGCAGTGTTAGGAAACACTGGGGTTGCATTCCAAATGGCACCCTATTCCCTATATAGTGCACTTCTTTTGACCAGGGCCCATAGGGCAATCCCACTCCATCACTTCTTCCCATCTGGCACCCTATACCCTACATAGTGCATCACTATGGGCCCTGGTCAAAAGTAATGCACTATATAGGGAATAGGCAGGGTATCAACACCCCCTTCACAGCATGAGACAGGCCCACACAGGACAACACATTAGAGAGAAGAGAGAAAGAGCCATTCACAACCATCAGGATGCATTTACATTTACATCACTAACTAACTCCAAATAGAGACAGACATACAGTGAATGATGGAGAGGCATTGTCACACCTGGGGATTGGGTTGAGAGATGTGCTGTTGTTGTTGTGACTTTGCAGTTGGTACGAGATTACTGTCTACAGACTTGACTTTGGATGCTCTTTATTGAGACATTCTCACTTAGCTTTTTAAGGAGGGGTGGGGGGAGGTCACACAGAGGTGGGAGGTATTGTGATGTTATTACTAAACATAACCTCAAAACACCTCACAACAATAAAACAATAATTATTTATTGAGATATGCTCACTTAATAACACATTACCTCCCCACATCCAGCCTTAAAAAGCAAAATAAAACTCCAAAACACTTCACAACAACTACCACAACAAATCAACCAAACATACCATCGACGGAGGTGAGGATGACCCTGGAGTGGTCGTAGGCGATGACGTTTGCATAGCGGTTCTTTGGCTTGTTCACCTCCAGGTTAGAGTGTTCCCATGTGAACTGCTGGCCTGGGTCTACAGACTGATGGAGGGAGGAGGGAAGGAGAGAAGGAGAGGAAGAGAGGGAGCGAGAGTGAGGAGGGGAGATAGAGAGGGTGAAGGAGAGGGGGAATGGAGAGATGGAGGGAGGGAGGGAAAGAGATAGAGAGAGTGGGGGAGAGGGGGAAGGAGAGAGTGAGAGAGAAAGAGAGAGAGAGAGAGAGAGAGAGAGAGAGAGATGTCATCTTCCCTGTAATATTTTTGGAGGCACCAGAACTCATTCCCCATCCTTTTCAATGTCTGTTCTGTAATAAAAGCAGCCCTCTGTGATCCCACAGCACTCTGGCTTCACCCCGGGCTGTTTGTACAGTCGTAAAATCACCTCTCGGCCGTGGCTCTGCCACCTCTGGGCCACCTAATGGCCAAGGAGAGCTGTGCTGATGAAATCAAGGAGTCACAGCGGTGAACAGAGCAGAAGCACAACCTCTGTGTCAGCATTCCTGAATATACCTAGCCTGAGGTCGTGACCTCCAACCCCCTAGACACAGAGAGGGCAGAACCCACAGAATGAAATAGAACAATGTGGCTGGACCCCACACCTACACACACAATGTTGCAGCTTCACATTCACCTCCAGCAGGTAAGTGGGGGGAGAGAGTTATCTGTATGTAGGCTTCTGCTGGATGAGAGGAAATAGGAAATATATACTATACAAGCTAGTAAATCAGGTACTACTACCTTATCATCAAATAAGGAAGAAAAAATGGAGGAGGCTGTCCAGAAATTATTAGATGAAGTTGAAACAATGTTTCATGGTGGAAAATGTAGTCATACAGTATATAGAAGACTATACTACAGTATGTGACACAGTGAGGGAGAGAGCGGAGCATATGGCAGGCAGGGCACGGGTTAGTGATGCTACGCAGGTTGATGATTCATCTGAGCCCTGTATTTATCCCTGGCACTGGACAAAGGCTCTAATCTGGTCCAACTAAATTTTGACAGACTAGATTCTTATTCATTATTGATATTTCAGTTCTGAGCACTGATCTCACCTCATCTGGAAAACAAATAGGAACTCTCCCTGACCCCTTCACTGTCTAGCCTCTCTCTCTCTCTCTCTCTCTCTCTCTCTCTCTCGGACTCGAGCGCGAGGGAGGGGGAGAGAGAATCGAGCTCTGTCTCGACGAGCTCTCGTGAGTCGTCTCCTCTATTACTCTCTCTCTATATATCTCTCCTCTCTCTCTATATCTATCCCCTTCTCTCCTCTCTCCTCTCTTTTCTCTCCTCTCTCTCTCTCTCCTCCCTCTCTCTCTCTCTCTCCCCCTCTCCTCTCTATCTTCTGCCCTTCTATCTCTGCCCCTCTCTCTATCTCTCACTCCCTCTTACTCTCTCGCCCCCTCTTTCTCTCTCTTTCTCTCTGCCTCTCTCTCTCGCACTCCCTCTTTCTCTCTCGCACTCCTTCTTTCTCTCTCTCTCCCCCTCTTTCTCTCTCTCTCACACACACAAACCGAAAAAAGGCTGTACATTCTGGTGGTTTCCTCCTGACTGACTGACTGGCTGACAGGCTGGCTGACAGACTGACTGGCTGGCTGACTGGTTGACTGACTAGCTGGGAAGGCATGTGGGCCCCAGTCTGCTTGCTGATAACAATGACAATGGTGAGAGAGGTTGAGCGCACATCTTATTTAACAGCCTGTTAGGTAAAGCCTTCACTGCGTCACTCTGACAAATCACACACATTACTGCTAATGCACCACGCTGACGTGAATATCAGTTACCGTGCATGTCACTGCAATCACACTCTCTCGCCAACACTGCTGCATTTCCATTTCTCCCAGAAACAGTCAGACAGAAAGACAAAAGCCCAGAGGGCTGCCACCATGTGTACCTCTGTGAGGCAGAGATACCATGCTAACGTTTGGTGCAGGCGGCTGAATTTACATCGGCGAGGAAAATTGACTTTGCATCCTGACACATTTGAAGAGCCCTCAGCCTTGCTTTTTGACTAGCTGTGTGTTTGTGTGTGTGTGTGTGTGTGTGGTGATGCTAGAACAGCTCCTGTATTTCAGCTGGTATCAAATCCTGTCAAAACACTTCATACAGTAACTGACTGAAGTCCCAAATGTCTCTCTATTACTCTATATATATATATATATATATTGTGAAAGCATTCACCCCCCTTGGCATTTTTCCTATTTTGTTGCCTTACAACCTGGAATTAAAATGGATTTTCTGGGGGTTTGTATCATTTGATGTACACAACATGCCTACCACTTTGAAGATGCAAAATATTTTTTATTGTGAAACAAACAAGGAATAAGAGAAAAAAAAAGAAAACTTGAGTGTGTATACCTATTCACTCCCCCCCCCACGCAAGTCTCTTGGGGTATGTCTCTATAAGCTTGGCACATCTAGCCACTGGGATTTTTGCCCATTCCTCAAGGCAAAACTGCTCCAGCTCCTTCAAGTTGGATGGGTTCCGCTGGTGTACAGCAATCTTTAAGCCATTCCACAGATTCTCAATTGGATTGAGGCCTGGGCTTTGACTAGGCCATTCCAAGACATTTAAATGTTTCCCCTTAAACCACTCGAGTGTTGTTTTAGCAGTATGTCCTGCTGGAAGGTGAACCTCTGTCCCAGTCTCAAATCTCTGGAAGACTGAAACAGGTCTCCCTCAAGAATTTTCCTGTATTTAGTGCCATCCATCATTCCTTAAATTCTGACCAGTTTCCCAGTCTCTGCCGATGAAAGACATCCCCACAGCATGATGCTGCCACCACCATGCTTCACTGTGGGGATGGTGTTCTCGGGGTGATGAGAGGTGTTGGGTTTGCGCGAGACATAGCGTTTTCCTTGATGGCCAAAAAGCTCAATTTTAGTCTCATCTGACCAGAGTACCTTCTTCCATATGTTTGGGGAGTCTCCCACATGCCTTTTGGTGAACATCAAACGTGTTTGCTTATTTTTCATGTGACAGATCATGTGACACTTAGATTGCACACAGGTGGACTTTATTATTAACTAATTATGTGACTTCTGAAGGTAATTGGTTGCACCAGATCTTATTTAGGGTATCTGAATACATATGCATGCACCACTTTTTCGTTATTTTTTTCATTTCACTTCACCAGTTTGGACTATTTTGTGTATGTCCATTACATGAAATCGAAATAAAAATCCATTATAGGAAAAACGCCAAGAGGAATGAATACTTTTGCAAGGCACTGTACAGTGCAATATGGGCCCTGGTCAAAAGTAGTGCACTATATAAGGAATAGGGTGCCATTTGTGGCATACACTATGTATATAGCTTTTTTTGTAAAGCTTAACATATTACAATATTCTGAGTTACTGCTTCAGTTAGCAGTTGGTCATGTAGAAAGGTGTACTGTTTTGTGTATATATATATTCATTTTTTAAGAATTTAAACAGCTTCTCTGAGGGGGGTGATAATATATTGCAGAATCATAATTAGCTATTTCCACGCAAACATGCCCAAACACACCACCCACACATGCACTGACAATATACACAGGACAAACACGCTTACACACACACAAAAATACACACACACACTCCCCACCCTATCAGTGTGACTCAGCCCTCAGTCCATCTGTTCCAGGGTAGCTGGGTGATTGTGTGTGTATGTGTGTGTGTAATTGTTTGTGTGTGTGTGTGTGTGTGCGTGTGTGCGTATGTGTTTGTGTTTGTGTGTGTGTGTATGTGTGTGTGAGTGTGTGTGTGAGTGTGTGTGTGGGTGTGATGGTGGTGGGATGAATGTGTGAAGCAATGATGGCTGACAGTGTTTGCTGTATTTCTCATAGACACAACAGGGTGCATCCCAAATGGCACCCTATTCCTTATTTAGTGCACTACTTTTGACCAGGGTCCAAGAGTAGTGCATTGAATAGTGATAGACTGCCATTTGGAACGCAACCTGAGAAAGATGCACCTGCCTGCCGTCTCCACAATAAGCCTTCTCTGATTCCCTCCCTGGGAGACTGGATGTGATGTTGTTTATGTGTGTGTGTGTGTGTGTGTGTGTGTGTGTTTGTGTGTGTGTGTGTGTGTGTGTGGGGGGCGGGGGGGGGGGGGGGGGGGGGGGGGGGGGGGGGGGGTCTTCCTGCAGAGGGGTGGGGTGGCGGATGGAGTCTTCCTCGTGCATACATCTATACATCTACATTATTTTTTTAAATTGCAATGGCGGCCACGATTTAGCAGCGGCGGTGCGCAGCTGCTAAATGCATATATGGGAAACACTGGTGTGTGTGTGTGTATGCGCGTGTGTGTGTGGTGTGCTTGTTGTAATTTATGGGACCTGTCTACAGATCCACCGGGGGAAAAACAGGCACATGGGCAATGCAGTGCATCGAACGCACTAGAAATGTTAAAAAGACCCATCATTTGCTATAACTGAGCGACGCAGCAGCGACGCGACGCTATTTAAAAAGCGCCTCCCATTCTTCTTCCGATGATATCCTAATCTAGCGAGGCACATTAGAAAGTGATTGTGTCTGGTGAAAAGCCTGATTAACACCTGTTGTCACTCCTCAGCGTACATTACCAGCCAAGTGCTCAGATAAATTGTTTGCAAAGTCCCAATCCTAAATGTGTTATATCTGGCTAATTCGGTGCTCCCTGAGCATATGGTGTTGCTTCCTTCCTCTGTGTCAGCAGAAGGCATCCGTCCCCACTACTAGCCGAGGAAACGTTGGAGTTGGACAACATGGCTAATCAACTAACAACTGTCAGTGTTTTCACCTGTCTGAATACAGCACAGAATGAAAGATTCCCTAGTGAGAATCTTGGCCTGGCGCTAGGCAGCATTCACCACTCAGTAGCTGGCAGTGATCATGAATCACTAATCATAGGAAATGATGAGTAAAGTGTGTGTGTGTGTGTGTGTGTGTGTATGTGTGTGTGTATGTGTATGTGCATGTGTGTGTGTACGTGCGTGGGTGTGTGTGTGTGTGTGTGTGTGTGTGTGTGTGTGTGTGTGTGTGTGTTGCCCATACAAACGAGAGTGAGAATTTTAACTCAGACTTTTCATGAGCTATTAACATAATTCTACCCAATTGCTCTGTTCACCTTTAAAAGACAACAGTTGAAAGGATGGGCCAACTATCCCTGACTACTAAAACTGTCAAACCGTATTTATAATCAACTAAAGACACTCACAGTATACTCTGAGGACTACTACACTTTGAGTGGTGATGACTGTATTAGGATTATACTTACACTAATGTGTGTGTTTTTTGTTTTACTATTTGTGTGGGGACCAGAAGTCCTCGCAAGGATTATAAAACAAGGAACATTCGGACAAGTGGGGACATTTTGGGCCCTGGTCAAAAGTAGTGAATATGGTCACAGACTCAGAGTCAGATTTAACAAGCTGTGTGAACCCTGGCTCCTCTCATTTCAATAGAGCCATTATGATGGTTTAATTTCAAGGCCTGCTGCCCTGACACTGTGTGGAAATAGCTCCATGTAGAGGTGGGCTGGGGTGGCTGAGTAAGTTCTATTAGTGTGTGTGTGTGTGTGTGTGTGTGTGTGTGTGTATTACATTTTACATTTTAGTCATTTAGCAGACACTCTTATACAGAGCGACTTACAGTTAGTGAGTGCATAAATTTTTTCATACTGGTCCCCCGTGGGAATCGAACCCACAACCCTGGCATTGCAAGCACCATGCTCTACCAACTGAGCTACACAGTATAGCTGTCATGTTAGTTTATTCACCACTCAGAGAGTGACGAAAGCGTTGAGACAGGAACGAGGTGAAATTGTCTGATGAAGTGGGTGGAAGCAGGGTTCAAACTCCACACTAACTATTAGTGTATGTGTGTGTGTGTGTGTGTATGTGTGTGTGTGTGTGTATATGTGTGCCTGAAAACTCATTTAATGACAACTCAGAAAACGAAATAAACAAAATGCATATAAGCTGTTCCATCCAGCTGCATCCTCTTTGATTTTCTCATAATAAACAGCACTGAGGTAATCTGTAGTGTGTGTGTGTGTGTGTGTTGTGTGTGTGTCTAATAGTTAGTGTGGAGTTTGAACCCTGCTTCCACCCACTTCATCAGACAATTTCTCCTCGTTCCTGTCTCAACGCTTTCGTCACTCTCTGAGTGGTGAATAAACTAACATGACAGCTATACTGTTTCACTCTCAACACATTACTATACTGAATAACACACTGACTGGAAACAGGTAAACACAGAAAAGTTTATCTAGGGTCTAGGATACATCCCAAATGGCACCCTATTCCCTTTATAGTGCACTACTTTTGTCCAGGGCCCAATATGGAATAGGGTGCCATTTGGGACGCAACCCTAGATGCTGTTTTATAATTAATATACACTCCCTCCGCGGTAAACAGTGCTCCCATCTGTCCTGCTTTATCCGGCTGGAAATTCACCACTTTAAATGCAAATCACCTTCCTTTGTAGGACAACAACAAGGCATAATCCCTCACTGGTTTTTACAGTAGGTAGGTGCACTGGAATAATATTATTGGAAGGGAGCGGGGAAGCAGAGAGAGGGATAGAATTCATGCATACTTAGTAACATGCTTCTAAACCAGCTCTGAACTTACACAGAGCGAAATGTACAGGTAGCAAAGTGCAGCTGGATGCAGAAACAAAATCATTATGCAGAATTACCTGGACACATAATAGATGTTATTTAAGTCAAGGTGGGGTGAGGAATGGTTGGCCTATTACAAACTATTAGAAACTCCCTGGACCAACAACCCTCAAGATTTACTAAATCATTCTTTACACTAGCCATGTTCAGAAGCTGGTATGTTGAAGAGGGAGATGAGGGAACATTGGTATATCTAAGGTTGAAGTGATTGCAGCCAGTGTGTCTGCCAGAATCAAAGTGTTGAGTTAGTCTGTTGAGAGAGACCATAGATCTAGAGAATATAGAGACTATAGATCTAGAGACTTAGAGACTATAGATCTAGAGAATATAGAGACTATATATCTAGAGACAGAGACTATAGATCTAGAGAATATAGAGACTATAGATCTAGATACTTAGAGACTATAGATCTAGAGACTATAGACCTAGAGACTATAGATCTAGAGACTATAGAGACTATAGATCTAGCGCTATAGAGGCTATATATCTAGAGACTATAGAGGCTATGGATCTAGAGACTATATTTCTAGAGACTATAGAGACTTTAGATATAGATGCTGTAGATCTAGATACTATAGAGACTATAGATCTAGATGCTATAGATCTAGATACTATAGAGACTATAGATCTAGAGGCTATAGATCTAGAGACTATAGAGACTACAGATCTAGATACTATAGAGACTATAGATCTAGAGACTATATATCTAGAGACTATAGAGCAGCACTCCCCAAATTTGGACCTTGGGACCGCAAGGGGTGCACGTTTTGGTTTTTGCCTTAACACTACACAGCTGGTTCAAATGATCAAAGGTTGCTGATTAGTTGATTATTTGAATCAGCTGTGTAGTATAGGCCAAAAGTGTAGATGGAGGGGAGGAGACAGGTTAAAGATGGATTTTAAAGCCTTGAGAAAATTGAGAGACAGATTGTGTATGTGTGCCATTCAGAGGGTGAATGGGCAAGACAAAACATTTAAGTGCCTTTGGACGGGGTATGGTAGTAGGTGCCAGGTGCACCGGTTTGTGTCAGGAACTGCAACGCTGCTGCAACTCAATATTAGGAAGGTGTTCTTAATGTTTTGTGCACTCAGTGTAGATATAGAGACAATAGAGACTATAGATCTAGATCCTATAGACTATAAATCTAGAGGCTATAGAGCCTATAGATCTAGAGACTATAGAGACTTTAGATCTAGATGCTATAGATCTAGATACTATAAAGACTATAGCTCTAGAGACTATAGATCTAGAGACTATAGATCTAGAGACTATAGAGACAATATATCTAGAGGCTATAAAGAATATAGATGAAGGAACTGGGTCGTAGACAACCAGTGGTGGTCAGCAGGGCAAAGCAGAGTAGGGGTAGTTACCTCATACTCCTGTGAGAAGCGGAGTCCATCGTTGGCCTTGAGTCGCTCGATGTGGTTAGCCAGATCAGTGGTGGAGATGAGAGGGTGCTCCCTCATTCCTGGAGGGAGAGAGGAAGAGGGTTACCTACCTACTGCAGTAAATACAACTTTCCTTCAGCTATGAGTGAAATGTACACCACAGTGTAATATATTCACGCACGCACACACACATGCATGCACCAACCACACACACCTGCACACACACATTTACACAACAGACATACACACACACGGAATGAGAAATATGCAACCAGATAACTGATGCATTTGTGATGACAAAGCACAGAGCTCATTGAAAGTGGTGAAATGGAAAGAAGTGTGTAGTGAGAGAGAAAGAGAGATGGAGAGAAAGAGAGAGTGAAGAGAGATGAGAGAGCGAGAGCGAGAGCGAGAGCGAGAGCGAGAGCGAGAGAGAGAGAGAGAGAGAGAGAGAGAGAGAGAGAGAAAGCAACAGAAAGGTGATATCTCTAGAGCTCTGTAACACTATACTGTGGGTTACTCCAGTGAAGGGAGCAAATGAGTGAGTAAATGAGCATGCTGATTGGTTGGCTGTAGCCCACAGCAACACAAGTGGGAGTGGGAGGGGTCAGGAGGGCATTCAGAGCATGATGTTACATACATTTTTCCATGAAATGGTAACTGAAAACTTTTCCTGGCTATAGCTAGATGAGACCAACATCTTAGTACATTATTAATGATATTATCACAAACCTAAAAAATACTTTATTCACAAATAACATTCTGGAAAGGAAATATACCACATACAGTTACCAGGTGATGTACATAATATAGCTATAGCTAAATTGTAACCTCAAAGTACGGAACACATATATCATCTCTTTCAGTGGCAAAAGAGCTTAGGACTTGGAAAGATTGATGCAGGAACAATCTTTCATCTCGGCTTTGTCCTCAAAGCAATAACAAAAAGATTATCCTCCAAAATAACATAGAATATTGATACAAGCCAGCGGTGACAGGTGACAGTTCTGAGCCCAGCCTGTGGAGAGGAAGTGACATGGGGGAAGTGACACGGCTAGTGGGGAGGAGGGGGTTGGGGGGTGGTTCCAGCCGACTGAGCAATCATACGTTCACAGACAAGGTGCAGCTAGCATGGGGCTGAGATGAGATGGCCTTGGTGGGTGCCACACAGAAAACAGCAGTGGAGAGGAGGATGAGTAGAGAAGGTAGAGGGACGGAGGGATGAAGGGGGTTGTTGGTGTTAGGAGGTGAGGGGGGCGTTCCATCGCAGCTCCCAAAGTAGCACTATCACAGCACTTCCTCACTGAATACATAGACTACTATATATACAGAACATGATCAGTACTGTTGTCTGAGATGTGATTGTGCTACTGAGAAAACTGATGCAGCGTGAAAGAAGAGAGAGAGAAAAATGAGAGAGAGAGAGAGAGAGAGAGCGAGAGAGAGAGAAGAGAGAGAGAGAGAGAGAGAGAGAGAGAGAGAGAGAGAGAGAGAGCAGAAGATAGAAAGAACGAAGAAAGAAAGAAAGAAAGAAGAAAGAAAGAAAGAAGAAAGAAACAAACAAGAAAAAAGAAGAAGAAAAAGGAGAGCGAGAGAAAGGAGAGAGAGATCGATTATGCTGGAAGATCTCTCTCTCTAGAGAGATCGAGAAAAGAAGGGAGCTAACTAGAGAGAGTGGAGAGGGAGAAAGAAAAAGAGTGGAGAAAAGGATTGGAGAAAGAGAGAGAGAGAGAGAGAGAGAGAGAGAAGAGAGAGCGAGAGAGAGAGAGGATGGGGATGGGTTTAAATAGGTAGAAAACACAGGAGGAATGGAAACTAACTTGGAGTGTTCGGGCAACTGGGGTCACTGGAACCTGTGGGGAGAAGATGGGGAGGTCGGTGTGTCATACTCAACAACCAATACCAGATGGATCATTCATGTTAACGGGGGAAGAGAGGGGAGAAGGGGAGAAGAGGGTAAAAAAGGATTAGGAGAGAGAGAAGGGGGGGATAGAGAAAGAGACCCTAGGTTTTCAGATGGGGCTGGTTGTGTAGATGTCTGTACACCTGAAGTGAGACAGTCTGTTAGCCTGGAATTCCAACATTCCTCTCAGTTTCAGCCTGTCTCCGTCCATGACAGTAGCCTGGATCCCAACTGAATTGTTCGATTTCACTTCACAATATTGGGTCCAGGCTACCATGGCACATAACTGTCTTAGACATATACTTGAAAGCATATTCTTGACTATAGGTACTACTACTCTATATGTACGTATCATAGAGTGCTTTAGTAGGCAACAGAGGCGTCAATAGTATAGAACTGAGCTATTAGAACACATCTTCATTGTGCTCACAAGGACACAAAAGGTAAGAGGCTGGCAAATTAGACAACAACATACCTGCCTCTATTTGTGTAAACAACATCTACTATGTCCCCCCTACTGCTAGAGACTCAAAAGCTGCCCATCTAATAGCAAACTACTAGAAAACACCCACAGAGTGTGGAGATAGAGAGAGTGATGGAGAGAGGGAGGGAGGGATGGAGGGGAGAGAGAAGAGAGGGTTTGAAAGAGATGAAAAGAGGAATGAGGGGGAGAGAGATGAGATGAAGAGTTACAGGAGAGAGGGAGATAAGGCATATAGAAAGGAGAGAAAGAGGACGAGAGAGAGCACATAAAGAAAGGGTAGCACGTTAGCGAGAGAGGGAGAAAGAGGAGAGAAGAGAAAGAGAGAGAGAGGGATAAAGAGAAGAGAGAGAAGAGAAAGAGAGAGAAAGAGAGAAGAGAGAGAGAAGAGAGAGAAAAGATAGAGAGAGAGAGGAGAGAGAGAGGAGAGAGGGGAGAGAGAGAAGAGAGAGAGGAGAGAGAGGAGAGAGGAGAGAGAGAGGAGAGAGCACATAAAGCAAGGGCTAGAGAGTTAGCGAGAGACAGAGAGAGTTCGATGTTTAGAGAAAGAGTTAGAGAGAGATTCTGTGGGCTTAATTCCTCTGCTAAGTTCAAAGCTCAATACTCTCCATGCTGCTTTCAACAGTGTTTAATTACCAAGCTGGGTCAGTGCAGTCCATTAGAAGAAGAGACACAGAGTATGCATCCCAAATGGCACCCTATTCCCTATATAGTACAATACTTTCAACCAGGGCCCGTAGGGAATAGGGTGCCATTTGGGCCCACTAGAAGAGCCAAAGAGCCCCCCCCCCTCGTTCTCTCGCTCTCCCCCTCTCTCTCCCTCTCCCCCTCTCTCTCTCTTCCCCTCTCTCTCTCTCTCTCTCCCACCTCTCTCAGGACATGTTATATGTTAAAGGACCATTAAGGCTTCTTTCTATAATGGTCATAAATGGAGGTGTAGAGGGAGAGGACATCTCAACGACTAAGACCAGAGCTTTGGGTTGTTGACTGATAGACAGTACCTTCCATCCTCAACTACAGCATCTCCCTTTCCAACTTCACTTCAACCCAAGTACTACAAATACAACAAGACATATGATCCTAGTACACTAAGCCATGTTACAATCCTTCACATCCACAGCAATCCTCAATCCTCCGATATTACAAAGACAAGATGATGATATCCAGTAAAGCAGGTACACTGCACTGATTATTGTCGACATTCAATTAATCGCCAACCATCTTTAATTTGTGATAACCAGCATCTGATATTGTTGTAATTAAGCTGAATCATCTGCATACAGTAGAAGCTTTAACTCTGAGGTGTTTTATACTTTAAGGCTGTGCTGTGAACTGCATTCACTTGCTTCTCCTAGCAAAGTGGTTACCAATAGCTACACATTCACCAGAATGTATCATAGGAGTGTGAGAGAGTGTGAGCAGTGGGGTGGCTAGAGGCCATGTTTCATTAGTTACCTTGTTGGAGATTTGTCTGCAGGCACTGAGGTGGATAGTTTGGCCATGGGTGAACAACAGCTAAATCTGAATATAAGTGTATATGTGGTTGTTTGTCTGCTAGTGTGTCTGGGTCGCTGAGTTTGTGTGTGTCTATACCTCGTGCATGCTAGTGTGTGTGTGTGTATGTACACACGTGTAAGTGCCTGTGTGTGTGTCTGCGTGCATGTGTGAGGGTGTGTGTGTGTGTTTGTGCGTGTGTGTGAGTGAGTGAGTTCGTGTGTGTGTCTATACCTTGTGTCTGATAGTTGAGTCGTCTCATCTCCACAGGATCAGAGGAGTGAGCCAGCAGAGAGTCCTTCACCCCAGCAGAGTGCTCATCCTTGGCCGAGGGAGATGCTCGTTTCCTGGGGAGAGAGGCAGGGAGGAGAGGCCATGAGACAAGCTCCATACACAGTACATAGGCTGTGTTCCAATAAAAACACTAGCATACTACTTCTAGTTAAGTAATGTCATTGGGCATGTATGGTGGTAGGCTGAAGAAGATGGTATGATTGTATGGGTATTGGAATGTAATCATACTGTAGTGGTCAGCTGGCTGGAAATAGGTCAACCCCAGTTACAGAACCATCACTATTGTATCATGACTATGTCATTGAGCTAGCTGGTGGTTCCTGCATTGATGTGGAAGATACTGGCTACCAAGAGGATACTCAATTTGTGCCTGAAGTGAAGTGAAAAGCTGATGTTGTGTCGTTGAGGTGCGTAACTCCCTGAAGCAGAGGCATACCTCTACTCTTCAGTAAGTAAATTGGTTTTACGTCCCAAAGGGCAACCTACCCCCTATTTCGCCCTCAGCTCTGGTCAAAGGTAGTGCGCTATATAGTGAATAGGGTGCCGTTAAATAACCCGATAAATAAATGTGTCTGCCGTGCTGTGTGTTAGTCAGTTCCCGAGGTGAGGCAGTTTATGTGTGGAGGACCCAATTCACTGTCTACACAGCTGGGGGGAAAGTGGTGACACAGTTTTGGGTTTACGCTCATTAAAACCCCTAATTTCCCCCATATGAACGTGTGAAAACAAACAGGCTGAGCAATTAACAGATCAGCCGCAGTGACAGACTAGCAAGGCTTGCTAATTACAGAGGTGGAGAAAGAAAGAGAAGGAGGGGAGAGAGAGGAAGGGGAGAGAGGGAAGGAGGCAGGGGTATGGGAGGAAAGAAAGGGAGAGAGGGAGGGAGGAAGGGAAATGGAGGGAGAG